ATGCAGTTGGGCCTGTCAAACAGGTTGTTTGGGATTTCTGGTTGCGGCTCCAGAATTTGCAGGATGAGCCATTGCCTCCTCCTTTTCGTAAGCCATGCAGTGTGTACATTGATGGATCGTGCACTGACATGAAGGATAGATTAGTGCGTTTGAGCGGTGCTGCAGTGGTACGACGGAATGCCCAGTACCAGGCTACGGTGATTTGCCAGCGCACTGTGCCTGGAATTGCACAAAGCTCAGGCCGAGCGGAGGTCTTTGCAGGTCTCCTTGCAGTGCAGACTCACACATGTGCCACAATCTATTCGGATTATCAGCTTTTTGTTGCGCGAGCAAATTGCCTCTTGCAAGGAGGATGTGTTGGGCCTTTTTGGACTAATCGTGATCTTTGGTGCAAATTCAAATCTTGCATTAGTCAGCCGCATGTGCAAATTGCTGTCTGCAAAACAAAGGCGCATGGTGATTGGAAGAATCTCCCTGAGCCAATGCGTGAACGTGGATGGTTCAATGACCTTGCGGATTGCGCAGCAAAAAAGGCAGTTGAGAACGCATGTGCCCCTCTTCGAGCTGCATATGTGAGGGCGCGCGATGCCCAGACTTTTGTGCGATCACAGGTGTGCTCTTATCAGAAGTTTCTTGCTGCGGTTGCTGAACGAAAGTTTGAGCTTGCCAAAAAGAAAGAACCCAGGGATGGGCCTAATTACGACCTGAAAGTGCTACATGTTGCAGGTGAAGGACGGCCACTGCCAGTCAACTGGCCAGCGCTTCACAGGGCTTGCCTGAATACACATTGGCCAAAGGATTTTCTTGACATGATTGCCAGTTACTTTGCACAATTGCGTTGGTTTCCCACACAGCCGGCGTCCATTCATCAAGTGAGCTGGGTTGAACTCTACCTTGACTGGCTCATGTGGACGGGATGCGTTGCCCCTGCTCGCATGCCTTGGTCTCGGTCCTCCAAGCCAGACTACAGATGGCGTCATAGGGACGGTATTGCGCAAGTTCAGCAGTCACAGCTTGGCGTTGATGTGTATGCGTGGAAAGTTGCTTTCAAGTTTCTTGTGAGGAAAGGGGCTCTCCCTTTGCCTTTCAACATGGTGACACGTGCATGGAGTGTTCGCAGAATTGGCTTACTTATGAAGCATGGAGGCCTTGATCATCGGCCCTTTTTGCTTTGTGGTAATGCTGCTGCCGAATGGTTGCAACGACGTCTTAAGGGTGACAGATTTACTCAGAAGACGCTTAAATTCAGTTTGCTTACTCCGCCGAATTGGTGAAGTTTTTCTCTACTTGTGCTGGAAGCACCGCTATGCGTGGCTGCCAGTCACCAAGCTTGATGCAAGGAGAAAACAAAAGTTGATTTAGTATTGCTGGGGCTTCCTTTTGAGAATTGGAAGTGGGTTTCCATTTGATTTAGTATTGCTGGGGCTTCATTTTTGAGATCTGGAATTGAGTTTCCAGTTGATTTAGTATTGCTGGAGCTTCCTTTTGAGAATTGGAATTGAGTTTCCATTTTTTTATCATTGCTGGAGCTTCATTTTTGAGATCTGGAATTGAGTTTCCAGTTGATTTAGTATTGCTGGAGCTTCCTTTTGAGAATTGGAAGTGGGTTTCCATTTGATTTAGTATTGCTGGGGCTTCATTTTTGAGATCTGGAATTGAGTTTCCAGTTGATTTAGTATTGCTGGAGCTTCCTTTTGAGAATTGGAATTGAGTTTCCATTTTTTTATCATTGCTGGAGCTTCCTTTTGAGAATTGGAATTGAGTTTCCATTTTTTTATCATTGCTGGAGCTTCATTTTTGAGATCTGGAATTGAGTTTCCAGTTGATTTAGTATTGCTGGAGCTTCCTTTTGAGAATTGGAATTGAGTTTCCATTTTTTTATCATTGCTGGAGCTTCCTTTTTGAGATCTGGAATTGGGTTTCCATTTGATTTAGTATTGCTGGGGCTTCATTTTTGAGATCTGGAATTGAGTTTCCATTTGATTTAGTATTGCTGGGGCTTCCTTTTTGAGAGAGCTTCATTTTTTTAGTATTGCTGGGGCTTCATTTTTGAGATCTGGAATTGAGTTTCCATTTGATTTAGTATTGCTGGGGCTTCCTTTTTGAGATCTGGAATTGAGTTTCCATTTGATTTAGTATTGCTGGGGCTTCCTTTTTGAGATCTGGAATTGAGTTTCCATTTGATTTAGTATTGCTGAAGCTTCCTTTTTGAGATCTGGAATTGAGTTTCCATTTGATTTAGTATTGCTGGGGCTTCCTTTTGAGATCTGGAATTGAGTTTCCATTGAGAAGGCCTGCATGGTTGTCTTTTTGTCGGGGGTGGGGCCGATGGACCGCACTAATTAGGGCGGGCGGTTATTAATTGGAGTGTAAGGGGCCCATGTGGGGTACCCTTTGAAACCTTCTAAATTTGCTTTTTTTAGTAAAGGATTTATTAAGAAATCGAGCATCTCAGAACACTTTTTGTTTTGTGGCTTGGGCAGGCCCAAAAGCATCCGCCAAGCTTCAAGATGAGAGTAGGAGGTGGAGATGAGAGCCCGAAGCAAGGCAGCAGCATGAAGAGAAAGGTATCAAACAAAATAAAATAAAAAATGGCAAGCAGCATGAGTCCACAATATTCAACATCAGCAGCATCAGCTAGCACCAAAAACAGTTTACATTGTAATGAGCTCAGGCAGCCGTGGAGAAAATGAGATAGCAGCAGCCATCTGCGGGAGGGACCGTTTTAATTGGGGAGGGCTTTTTAGGCCCCCTTTTTATTTAGGGTTTTTTTTCTGAGATATGAATTGTTTAGTATTGGGGGGGTCACCCGGACCGGTTCAATAGGGGAGGGTTTATTCTTACGGGGTCAACATTACTTTATTGCCGGGCCAGCGCCTTGTCACACGGTCCTTTGTATAGCCCGTGGCGTTGTACACAAGCATACGCAAGGGCATTTCTTTTCTGACACTGACTGAATCTGTGGCTTTGACCGCTGTACAGCAGCAGACATTCTCACTGCGCAACAAACGGCTCGAGAGGAGAGCGTGTGTAGCCCAGCAGCGACGGCATTCAGGGTCAGCGCAGGCTTCACGGAAAGAAAGAAAAATCAAACATATGGACAAATGACGAAAGGTGATGACAGCCCCCTTGGCACACGCGGCGACCTTTGCTATGCCGCCCTATGATTTTCGCAAGACTGTGCTCGCAATTTGCGCGCAAGTCGAAGAGCAGCGGCCGGACCGATTTCCCCGAAGCGGGAAGGTGCTCGCGCAGCACGTGTGGCATCTTTGCGTGCTGGCTTTGACATGCCATGCGCCAGGTGGTCTTGGCAACACTGGTGGAGGCAACTTGGCTAAGCTTCCCTTAGCGCTTCTTGTTTTTTGCAGCACATCAGCAACACTGGAAAACACAGGATGTCATAGGTGTATTTAGGTGTCAGCCGACGCGCCAGCGGCTGATAAGAGCAGTTTCAAACATGATCAAACATGTCTGCCGGAAGACCAGGTGTGGCCCAACATGACGGTCGAGTTCTGGGCCTGCGAAATCAATGAGGCGAAGACAGATCCTCTTCTCGCATGCCCCGAGCGCAGATCTCATGGTGGTCGGCTTTCCTCGCCAAAGCGTGACTTGAGCAAGAGGATGTCTTTCAGCTGGGACGAGGCTCGCTGTCTGGCCATGTCTTCAAGAAGGCTCAAGAAAGTCTTAGCAGACAAGCTTCCCGCTGGCGTGCAAAAGTGGATGCAAACAATCTGCAGCAGATGAGGTGCTTGAAGCCACGCAGCTGCTGGGGTACAGCGTGCAGCACAGGATGATCTCCACCGAAGCCTTCTTGTCGCTCCTACGCCGCACTTTTTGCCAAGATGCGTCTTGGACACCCTGGCACGCAACCTTCTCCGCCGGTCGCATGAACCGCTGGAGCTTGGAAAGGTAATCTTGCAGCAGGGCGTGATGCATGGTGCGATGTTGGCCACAGGCTTGGGTCGCGAAACGCACTGGTCAGTCTGAACACAAAAGCAAACCTGGTCAATTTGAAAACACGGCAAAGCACCTATTGCCATCTATTGCCTGTGTTCCCACCCGCTTGAAGCTCTTGGCAAGCTACTTGCGTGTCAAACGGTAGGCAATGTAATTTGCCCATCTGCTTCTCACGTGTAGGGAGCTGGTCAAGAGAGTTTTGGCTGGATGCAGTTGGCATGAGCTTCTTCACAATGCGCCGGGGGGCCCAGAGGCTTGAAGGCAAATCCAGGAGCTGCCAGGATGGAAGCCGCTTCCCTCTGCTGGCACTAGCCCAAAGAAACAGAAAAGAAAAAGAACAACACCGGCTTAGTTAGAAAAAAAAAATCCCTCGCAAAGGTGAGAGTGCGCCGCGAAGATCGTTCTTGTCGCATATTGGATATCAGGGTGGCGAAGAATAAGGTCACTTTGACGCTCGTCTTCCAGTTCAAGGATGAAACCCGGGCACCCTCCTCGCCCGAGACTTTGGCTCCCTGGGTGTACAAGCTCGGCAATGGGCGAAGTGCTGCCGATCGAAGCCAGTGCTGGCGGACAATGAAAGAAGTTTGGCAGGTTGGCCGACCTGATAGGAGGGGTGGCGCGCGTCCTTGAGACAAACGTGAGCGGGGCGTCTGTAGGACCAGCCGGGCCTGGGTCCAAATCTGTGGCGCAAGTCACTGAAGTCAGTTTTTGGTAAGAGTCAGGTGCCTTGAAGGGTTCATGACTTTGGCGATAGCTCGGAAGCAAGACCGATACACACATATCAGGACTTCGCGCGCCTGTCCTACCTTGCCCCAGCTTCCCAAGGTGCAAACCGACTCCGAAAGATGGAAGGGAGGGCTGTATAGAAACAGTTTTTCTCTCTCACTCTCTCACACACATTTGAACGCAAACGCCCGCTCTCTATACCAAGCTCCTACTCCACTTGATCTGCAACGCAGTTACCAATTTCAAGCACCTTGCTAATCTCTCCAGCTTACAACAATGCTGACAAACTCTCTGCAGCGAACATGTTGCCATTGCACCTGCTCAAGCTTGACACGCAGCTTCTGCTTCTCTTCTACTTCTCGCTGCAGCGTTGCTTCACGCGCAAGCTCCTCCAACCTGGCCTGCAAGCAGAAGCGACGTCCAACAAGCAGTGGGAAAAACCACCTGCTTCACCCAACCAGTTAAGGTTCGAAGATCCGTTACCAATAACCGCAAAGAAATTAATTCCCTTTTGGCTTGACTTGAGAGACATCAGCCGGGCGGCGCCTCCGTATCCGAGAGGCACCACGAGTTGTCTGGTTGCTTTCTTTTAAGGCAAGTAAGGGCCTTGTTAAACAACGTTAAGGTTGGCCCTGGGAAGTGCAAAGAACCAATGCCCATGAACTCAAGAAGTGAGAAGAGTGGGACTACATTGTTTGCATGAAATCTTGACAATCTCAGAATCGCATCCGTTGCGATGTGCAAGGTTGCTCGGACCCGAAGCCCCAGGTGAAGAACCAAAAGGATGGGTCTTGCTTTTGAGTGTTCGGAAACTGAACATGGCTCCCGAGACATGGGCGTAGTTTTCTTCTCTCTTCATTCACGGGTGGTTCTTTGCCCATTTTAGCTCACCCCGCGTTAGAAAAGCCGGAAATCCCCCGCACGTTGAACGACAGTTCTGCAAGCCCCATTTGCACAATCCGTGACTGCCGACATGTAGCGGGCTGCCCTCGAAAATTCAAGAACACCTGGTCATGGCCTGGGCTTCTAAGCGATTTGCAACCCGAATTCAGGTAAGCCTGCCCTCTGTTTTGCCCACTCTTGAGTGTTTTACGCCAAGTGTGCGAGGCGCAGTCAAAGCTAGTTAGTCTACTGTTTGGTTTCCCTTTGCGGCGACGGTGCTGCGTGGCGCCCGGCAGAATTCCGTAACACCGGCAGATAATCACCCAACGGGCCTGGAGCAGCCGATGCCACCCACAGGGCAACAAACCACACCAAAAACATCAGCGCCACAAAGGCACTTCTGCAGAAACTGGCAAGGGACAGCCAATCACTACATGACAAACTCACCAGGAAACTCCTGGGAAACATGCACAGAAATAGCATAATTAAGCAACGTTGTTGTTGCCACCATGAGATACTTCGCTGTGGAAGTCAGCTGCACTTACCACGCTGGCACTTGCGAAAAATTAGTATGGATCACAAACCTACCATCAACCAGAATCACATCACCACTGCAACAGCCCGTCCGGCTGCACCAGGCTGGCCAGCTTTGGCGCATCACTTCATGGGCCTGGGAGATCCGACGCCCTTCACAACGTCCTCCACCAACGTGGTGCGCTTACCTCGCTGAAGAGATTGGGCCATGCTCAACGAGCCATTGGGCAGCAGCACTTGACGTCGATGATTTGTGTGACCACAGCTGCGTCGAAGCCTTCGTTTCGGACAGCGAAGGGGCCACCACGTAAAAACCGCTCTCACTGATTTCCAGACAGCGGCATTGTCCCACTGCCAGCCTTGCGCCAATCACCAGATAGGTGCCATGCCTCGTCTTACCCCACTTCCTGCAGCTTTGTGGCAGCTTCAAGGTGGGCGAACTTCGTCACTGACATTGACGACCTCATAGCTATCGTCAGGCAGTGGCCGCTGATCAAATGCAGTCATGCCCACAATGCAGACCACCGTGTGCACCCGATCCGAAGCCGCACACCGTCCCAAACACTTCCCGGACTACCATGGCGATTGGCAATTTGACCTGCGCCGCAGCGGAAAGCACCAACCGTCCGCACGAAACCAGTTGACGTGTCTCGAACTTCCATGAAACCAGGTTTAGTGAAATCACCTTTGTTGGGCGCTGCTCACGCCCGTGCCCTCTACACCGAGTCCGCATAGCTCTCGCAGGGATGCGCCTGGACAGGTTCAGCCTCGCTCTCGACCTTGGCCTTCCGCGGCTCCTGCGGTGCACTGCCGATTCCGCCCCCCCCCCCCCTCCCCCGGTGAGAGTGGCAAGTCGCCTCTTCGGAGGGAACCAGCTAGATGCTTCGATTCGTCTTTCGCCCCTATACCCACATATGACGAACGATTTGCACGACAAAGGCCCACAAAAGCGGAGAAGAAAATAAGCTCAGGCGATATCCCCAAGAGCATTTGGTGCTTTTCTTAGTGGTCGCACCACCTCGCAGCCCTCGCAGAACCTCGTAAAACCCTGGTGGAACTTTGATGGAACCTTACCTCAGGGCCGCCCCGGACCACCCCGAACGACTCGAATTGGACCGCAAGGGCGAAGGGCTCCTGATCTGCCAAGGCTTTCAGAAGCTTGTTCCGCGTCTCTGCATCAAGCTGCACAGTGTGCATCCGGAGGCTGGGCCTTTCGTACCCGTAGGTTTGATTTCTGCTGGACTCTACCGGCTTGGAGAGGCTTGGCTTTCTTGAAGGCTTCAGGCTTCCACCTGGACAGAGAAGCGCGCCAGTTGAACGCTTGCCAACATGCAGCGAATAAAAACCCCCCAACATATATATATATATATATATATAATACATACATATATATATATATATATATATGTTTTTCCTTACCAGCTGCAAGCTATAGGCCTCTACCCGCTTTGGAACTCGTGGTTCGGGCTTGGGTTTCTCATGGATTCTCCTGTCGCAGCTCAGGCTGCGGCTTGGGCAAGGACTCCGGCTCCGGCTCCGGCTGGCCCACCCTCGCATCGCTCGGCCTGGGCCCCCCCCTGTCTCCGATGCAAATGCCGCCTTGACCCTATGGTTTCCCGCTGAAGCAACGGATGAGAGCGTGCCTTTCTTCCATTCTGTTCATACAGGCTACCCCGTCTGGAAGACTACTTTCCTTTAAAGTGAGCCTCTGAGAGACTCTGGTGAGTTCGATGGCAGTGTGGACAGGAGGCGAACTTCCCGAATTGCCAGCTGGCTCTGAGTCAAGTCCACATGAAGTCAACCGGCCTGGCTCATTCGCCTTGCTGAGAGCAGCATACGCCGGCCTCTCACCTGGCTTCGTTTCGAATGACTGCGGCGGATCGGGAAGTCCTTTTTTGGACGGGACAAACCGCTTTAGCGGCAGAACATTGGAGGTTTCACCAAGGTGACTTCACTCAGTAAACGAATCAAGCTGAGACTGGAAAAGAAGATGGCCGCAGCCTATTGGCAAGATCGCAAGATCTTCGCTCGAGCCTGGCTGAAATGGAACGCCAGTCAATTCCTGGCGAGAACTCTTTGGAAGATTCGTGCAGGCCTCATCTATCCCTCACCTCACAAAGAATCTCTCCCCTGAAACATGCGACCAAGGCATTTGCGCGGTTTCCTTGGCACAAGCAGGCAGTCGAATTGCTGTTAGCCTCCGCAAGCGCACACCGCTGAAACATGATTGTCATTTGCTTGCGCCGTGGGCAAATCTTGTGCAGAGCCTACGGGAGAGTCTGATTCAAAGCATGCCCGGAGCCGAATCAAAGCATACACAGAGCTTGCGCAAATCCTCCGGCCCTTTGTGGAAAGCTTCAGGCGCACACCGCGCCTGCTTCACATCCTTCTGCTCTGAAGCCGCCTGCCCCAAATCCCAAACTCCAAGCGAAGACAGGCGCTAACCCCCCACCCCCTTTTGGGTTGGCACTGGCCTCTTCCTTCACCGTTGCCTTGAGCTCTTCCTTCACCTCACGGGCACATGCCGAGCTGCGAAAGCCCTGCACTCTCTTCCTTTTGCTTGAGCACAGCCCGGCACGAGGCGCGGTAGTTGGCAAGCTAGAGCTGAAATGAGTTGAAATGAGCTCAGGGCACCCTAAAACACCGAAACTCCTGAAGGCCAAGCTTCTCTTGGGAAAGCTTCTGCCATAGAACCCCTAACGTCAAACAGCCAGCTGGTGAAACCCACAAAATCCATGTCCCCTCCGGCTGCCACGTCTGGGTCCCTGGCGCGAGTGTGGGTCTGTGGCGCGTCACGAGATCGCGGCGATTTGGCCTCTGACGATTGGGGCGCCCAGTCATCCCATCCGAGCTGCACATCATTCTTGCACCAATCCAGTGTGCAGCCTTCGCTCCAAAGCAAGAATTAGCAAAACGCTCACACAAAAGCAGGGTACCCGACAAGAATAGGGCAAATTGAGACATGGTGGCCGGAACTAGGATCCTGTGAGTCCATGAACCCGGGGGAAGCCACAACTCTTGTTTTTGTTTGGCGGCAAGGCGAATCTGGAACCCCTGGTATTGTCTCAGACCTGGTGGGACAAGTCGCTTTCTTTGGTCTCCGGATCAAGACTCCAACACGGGGGATCCGAGAAAGCAGTCCTTGGGTGGCAAATTGGTTGGTTTCCGGCTGGGGTTCCTAACACAAGGAGAACGAAATGAGTTGGGGGTGTCCGGGTCCCATTGGGGAATGTTGAGCACACGTACTGTCTTTGAGCCATGTCCCAAAATCATTCCGGAACCGCTCTGCATTGGCGGGCTTGCCGTTTTGGGGGCCTGCCTAAAATAACGTGCTGTTCCTTTTGCCTCCCTTTAAACCACCCCAACAGAAGGGGCACCAACTCCAAAAGACGCGCCACCCATTTTGAGCCACACGCATCGCCACCGACGCGCCTCGACCTGCAACTCATCCGCCCTCTGGATGCAGAGCCGCGCCAGCTGCTGGGCTTTTTGCGGCACCGCCCGCAAGGCAGCGTTCAGCGGGGTGCGCGAAGAGCTATCCTCGATCCATCGAAGCGCTACATTTTTTGAGGTAAAGGGAAACCAAAAGGACACCACCTTCTTTTCTTCTTCGGGGGTCCCCCTGTTTTCAGACAAACTCAAGAGTTTCCGGTTGTTTTGTGTCATCTGTCGAAGACGCGACCTTTGATGCCATGGGAATCGTGTCAAAATCGCACCAACGCGATAAGCGCGAGAAGGGATACAGTTCCATGGAGACTAGCGACCATGTGCCGTGGCTCTGAGCTTGCAGGTGGCTCCTTTCACATGAGCCAAAGCTCTGTCTCTTTCTCCGGACTTGGTAATTACCCCTTGTTTCCCGGCTCAGGGAAGCCGACCGTTTCCTACTTGGGGGGGTTGTCCAAGCATCAAAAACGACAGACACCCCCCCATCTCTCAGCCAGTTTAGGGCTTCCAACGGACAAAAAGGTGACGACGACTTCCGAGCCTCAAGGGTGCAGAGCTGCTGAAGCACGTCCTGGGCCAACCAAAAAACCGAAGCTCCGCTGTTTCAGTTCCTGGCAACCAAAGCGGTCTAGCTCTTCCCTGTGATTCTTTGAAGGAATTCGGGGAAAAACAGAAGCCTTGACCTATGGGAAATCGCCAAAACGGGTGAATCTTTCTTAAGGTTGGGTCCCCAAACATGGTTGAGTCTTGCTGTGGTTCCCCCGTGAACGAACCAAAAAAAGGGCACCCCTGAACAAAGACACACCCCAAGAAGCAAACATTATCCGATTTCGAAGGTGTTTGAGGGTGGAACCAACCGGCAAGCTCTCTCGACATGTCGACTCCTTGGATTCCGCAGCTCGCAGAATCGCATTGCCTTTGCAGCAGATGGATATGGCTCAAAAAACCGGTACCAAAATGGAACCCTGGTAAGTGCAAACCTGGACCAAAACCTGCGTAACCCTAGCTCTGAGCTGAATATGTGGAAACTCCGATTCGGATCGCGCGAGCCATGTGGCCCTGAATGGTCCTTAAGCGTCACAGCCCTTAGCACCATAGGCTGTGGCTGCCCCCTGACCGAGTCGACTCTAAATTCGAGGAGAAATCCAAGTCAGCCCGGCAAGGTGACTGTGCCCAAGTCATCACCCCATAGCCAAGCAGCAACATCCTACGTGCCCATGTTCGGCAGCCCAGTGCAACGCGTTCCGACCCCAGCTGTCGACCTTCAGAAGCTCACACCTGGCGATGCGAGAATGGGGAAGGAGCTAGCAGACATACGAGAGTCCTCAAAACGGTCGGCTGGCTTGCGCTTCCCTTGAAACCGCCCCAAAAAGGGTGGCTACGAGAAGACGTGCACCCACATGTCCTTCAAGCGTCCAAATCAGTCGCAATCTCATTGAGGAGGCTGTTTGTGACACCAAGTTGCGCTCTGCAAGCCAACAAAGTGTCAACAACGCATGCTGTGGGCTTGTCTATGCTTGTCTCCAAGTCAGACCCACCCCCGCCCCTCCCACCCAAACAAAAAACACACGCACACAAATAAAACGGGTGGGGGGGGGGGGGGTAGCATCCAGCTGGCCAGCAAAATGCCCCTGCCTGAGCTCCAAAAGCCGTTGCACTTCATCCTGAAGACTCAGGGCTTGAAGGATGTTCAAAGGATGCGAGTTTTCCTGAACTCCCACAAAAAGTTGGAGGACATAAACGCCCAATGTAAGTAGGACAACAGGGTCCCCCCCCCTCACCCCCCCGCCCCCCCTCAAAAAATATATATTGAATTCATATATCTGCATGGGCCCCCTCGCTCCTGCTGCCCGCTTGCGGCAGCTTGATGCAAGATGTCGTGGGTCGCGACGATTTCGGGCGGCGCTTGTGGCTTGGCGTCACGGACCTGGAAAAAAGGAGAAGATGCATCGAGGCTGTGGGCCATTCCTGGGCCGTTTCGAGCTTTGGCATTCAGAACTCTCGCGCCTGGCGAGAGTAGATCTGAACAGAAGCCTCAGGATATCTCAGGATCGAAGTCTGCACGCTTCAAATGAGCACGGCATGACAGGATTTCACAGGGGTTGCAGGGGGCATTGTAGATCACCTGGTTGGCCGGCCATTCTGCAGAGTCTTCTTTTTTGCTGAGTCATTGCCATACGAACCCGTTCGATGGTTGTCGCAAAGCCCTGGTCTGGTGTGTACAACCATCCCTAACCCCAGCCCACCAACAGGAGACCCATCTTCAAGAATGACCAACCGGGTGATGTATATCGACCTCTGCGCTCTACGTGTCACAAATCCCGTCGCCTCGGGCAAGCCCGGCATGCGGTGTGGCACGGGATGGGGAGTGGTGCAAGTTAAAAAATCAGCTCATACAACTTGCGGCTGCGAACTACTTGCTGCTTCGCACTGGACACTCTGACTGGTCCTATGCCATGGTTCTCTTTGAGCCAGGGCGAATTCAAGAAACTCTCCAATGCAACATGTCGACCACGGATTCGGATACTTGGGATGCGTTTCCTGTGAAAGGCAAGGATCTGATCTGCTCCTAAATGCAATTGACGCCTGCCCAACTAACTCACTAAATGCACTAAATGCTTATCAATCCTGGATGACCATTCATGATTTGTTTGGCCAAGCTCCAGGAAAATTGTCTATACTCCCTATTTCAAGTGACGAACCTTACTTCCATCGCGACTTCCGTCCTCCAACTGGGCCTTCTGGGCCAAAGTTGCATCCAGGTCTTCCCTCGCCCGCACCAACTCCCGCTCCAGCGGCGACCAGTCGGAGCCTTCAAAGCCGAAAGCCGAAAGCCCTGGCAAAAAACATGTGGGTTTTGCCGGCAAAAAGGAACCCGCAGGTAAACGAGGTAAAGGCAGCCCATTGAACGCAAATTGAGACATGTTTGATTGTCTATGGCTTGCCTGGCCGCAAACACTTTGCCAGCTTCGGAGCTTGGTCAAAACGCTGGTTTAACATCACCTCTGGGCTTGTTCCAGACTTTGAACATTTCTGACCAGCATTTCGTATCCCCTCTGAGGAAAGTCACCTTCAGGGTCCAAAAAACGGGGGGCACCCTTGAGACGCCAAATCGGAGAGCCTAGGCCCTTGGAAAGCAGCGACGCACTGCCGGAAGGCCTGTCCAGCGAATTCATGACATGGTGCACTCGTCTTTTTTTTCGCTTTCAGCGTCCCCGCAAAAATACAGGGCCTAGATCTCCCCTGAAAAAACATCACCACCAAGGGTTTCATGGGCCAAAAAGGTGATGTTTAAATTCTGCCAAAAAGGGAAATATGGGGAACCCTGAAACAGGGTGCTTCAGGTTGGTGGTTTAGAGGTGGGCGGTGAAAACCCATCTAGAACCAGAGGTCCAAAGATCAGGGAACGTAGCTAGAAAACACCTCCATGTCAGAGTCAGCGTCAAAAAATACTTGTCTGGGGGTGTATTCATTCTGATGTTAGGATGTCCCGTACTGTTTGCCAGGTTCTGTTCTCAGGTTTTGGGGTATCGTTTTTGTTTGGACGTCCCGTATCGTTTTTCGAGAAACAACAAAAACAACATGTGCATGAAGCACTCCTGCATAGGTCCATGTGTCAAAATATCCTTAAGCCAAGCGCTCAAAGAGGGTACCCTCGAACAACAGCCACATGATTGTGGGAAACCCTACACTTGTGATACCAAAGTGGACCATCCTTGGGACTTTGTCACTCTCAAGGGGGGTGTGTTCCCACTTCCCACCGTGGTAAAAGGACCTAGATGCTCAAGGTGCTGCTTTTCTCCAGACACAAAAGCCCCAAACACGGTCTGACTTGATGCGACAAAAGCAACTGCCGAGCCAAAACCGCCTTTCGTTGGCTTGTAATCAATATTTGAAGCCACGCAGGAAAAGGAACATCGGGTTTCAATCAATGCAACCGTTGCTGAGTGAGAACATGACAAACACTGTTTTGCTTTTTGAACTAATTACACTTTGAACTTTCAACTTTCAACGTCCCCAACCAAGGAGAGAGAATGCGCTGCTTGAGGCCGCTTTCCTCTTTCAACGTCAAGAACAACAGGAAAGTCTCAATTGAATCAACTCAACAAAAAGCCAGCCTTTCCCCAGGACAGAAGTGCTGGCAGCTGAAGACGGAAATGTCTCCTGGCCTAATCGGCACATACGTGCGATCGCCAGCTGCCGCATGGGTGATCCGATCGCCTGACAGAACAGCGTCCCCCGTTTTGGGCGTCCCATCATATCGCAGATCCCTTTTCAGAAATGCTTTGGGTCTGTGTTTAGGGGACCCCAGTTGGTTGGGGGACCCCCTGTGGGTTCGGTTTTAAAGAGGAACCAACAGGAAATCCGGCCTTTCGGCCTTGGGGGTTCACAGTCTCAAGGACAAATTTGTGGTTTCTCTTTGGCTTTCCTTTTAAAACAACATGCCCCGGAACGGGGGACCAAGCCTTGAACAATTGGAACGGCCTTTCTTTGACCAAACTGATGCCACCCCGCACTGTTACGGTGAAATGACGGGTTTCCCCAAACGGAAAGTTAAAAAGATTTACCCTTCCTCCCACCAGCATGGTGGTTGTTTGGAAGACCTGGCAGGTGCCATGTTGGTGAGAGGGTAAGCCTTTGGTCAGTTAGTTGAAACCAAAAGGGGCGGAACCTGCCCCCTCTCAGTTGTTGTCGAGCTCCGAACCTGTCCTCGAACCGGTGGCACTTCTGGCGCCGGCTCGTGGCTGGGCTGACCTGAAGCGAAGCTATGGCCATGGTCATAGCTCGGCCCCAAAAAAAGTGCACAGAAAAACCTATCCGCCGACCACTCTTCGGAAGGGGAGCCGCATAGGAAAGGCGCTCGAAACCAGCATCATCATCGCCAACAGTCGATATCATCATCATCGTCGTTGGTAGTTTCTTAGATAGATTCAAATTGTGAAGCTAGGTCTGCTGGTGTACTCATTTTCGAGGCTGGTGGATTCATGCTCTTGTCTGCGCGGCCGTGCCAGTGATGCTAAGGGATGTTGCGCTCATCATGATCCTCGTCCTCATCATTCTCTTTATGGAATCCAAATGTCCCGTTGGTCAGCGCTGGTGCCCAAGCCCGCGCCCAAGCACGACGGACATCACCAGAGCGATCACCAGTGAGTCCAATCACCATGACATGTAACGAATTCTACAGGACTCTCCTCAAAGCGCAGTCTCAAGAGTCGACAAAGCTCGCACAACCTGTGGCGTCAACAGATCTCACACTGTCGACCTCAACGTTGTGCCTGCTTCTCGCATATTACTCGAGCTGATTGAAACTGAAAACAAGACATTCCACTCGTTGCATTCCACCGTACCACGCGACAAGTTCTACAATATGCAGAGCACTGTAATAAAAGATGCTTCACCCATGAACGTGCGCGATAATCTGCTCGGGGCTATCCTCCACAGAAAGATTAAAATGTCGCAACCGAAGCATAGACACTTAGTCCAAACAAACCAACAAGACTGCGTTCCCATTAATTGCAGCTCGCCCCCCTAAATTATGTTCGGATTGTGCTTCATATTTATTCTACCCGAACAGGAAAAACAAGTCTTGGAGGAGACCCGAAATAGTTCACTGAATCGGAATCTCTGTTCCGACCACTTTGGAGTTGGTTTCAGAATATTCATTTGCGGCATGGTCAGGTGGCAAAAGGCCTGCGGCCTTTTTGGTAGAGATAGACAGCCGCAGTCATGCTGGTATCCTCTCAAAATGAATACAATGGGGGGTCCAACTCGTTTTGACAATGGGTTAGAAGTCATGCAAATCAGTTTTGACACCCACTTGAAACGGGGATTCTTCTCTTACCGGAGATGAAACAAATTGAAACAATCTGCAGAAAATCGCACCATTCCCGTCCAATTCTAGTCAGAGTAGGTCTCTGTCGTTTCCGGTGAAACCCATCGCGGCTTCCCTCAATAATTTGTGCTTTGGAGGCCGGTGGTTGGGAGATGCCCCGGGGCTTCACATTTACCCTCCACAAGAACCAGAGGTCCGAATCCCCGAACCACCAACGAGAAATAGCCCAAATTTTCGAAACGGACACCAAAAGGAGACCAACATGTTTTGCCAGACCGGATTCCTGTGAGAAATAGCCCCAAAGAGGTTTCCTTGGTTTCCGGGTACCCGCAGCAACTGATAGACCGACTCCCCGCGCCTTGGCCAGGGGAAACGCCCATTGCCACAGCCTCAAAGTCGAAGTCCTCCTCGAAGTTCGGAGCCTTTGAAGGGACCTCGGCCACCTGACCGGCCGAGAACAACAGCCAACCGCAGAGCAAGGGATGCTGCCGGCGCTTTTTGAGGATCCCAAGTACTGCAACTGGAGTGATATGGAGTGATCTTCATTTTTTCGTTTCTTCCAAGTTGTTCCTTTTTCTGGTTGGGCGGCAAGAGAAATTGATGTGGATTCTTTCCTTAGTTGGCACCCCCTTTTCACCACCTCTTTTGCCGGGAGGATTCCGAAATGCAAAAGATCGAGGAACACCACCCTTGCCAATCTCAGCAGTTTGTGCTGCTCCAAAGACCCGATCGCAAACGGTAGAAAAGCGGTGTTTAATAAACAGGACCCCTGCCAAATGCTTTTCACGGTCATTGCTCATACAAGCAAGCCCAAGTCGGGAACATCCTGCAGACCAGAGGACTCATTTCAGGCACTGCCGCAGATTGGAATGCCAAAAACATCCACCTGGACCCTCAAACTACCCATAAACATGGGATATCACCCCATAATTTTGGGTGTCAAACCTATCTTTTAAGGGAATTTTGAGGGTTCAGGCATTGCTAGAGGAGGCCCCTCTTGGGTTCCATGTCTCTTGGGGACGAAGACCCGGGTTCCCGTTCGGAATCCGTTTCCCGCCTGCGCCGCGGTGATGCTCCGCGCGTCTTGAGCATGTGCCACCAGGCGGCAGGCCACGCAGAAGGACTCGAAGTCCGCGCTCTCGTCGAGGTGGGCCAGGCGCCAGACCTCCCAAAGAGGCGAGAACGGTCCGCGAGGGGCTGAGTTTGTTCTCTTTGTTCTTTCAGGGGCTGAGCTCCTTCTTTCCCTTCTTTCTGGCCATCGGTCCTTCTGTTCTCAATCAACAAGCGCACGCCGTTGATGTCAGGGCTTTTCGTGGTCTGGAAAGAAGGATCCTTGGCTGGGGAAGATAGCCCTATAGGTTAACAGGGCAATGACAACACCCCCAACAACATTGCGGTTTATTAAGCTGCATATAAATGGATGATTCACCAGCTACCCCAAAACAAGGCCTTCCAGCAGGTGGCGGTTGCTTCCTAGACACGCTTGAACTTGGCTTTTCGATTTCTAGCAGCTCCTTTGGTTGCCTACACCGTTGCACAGGGAAATGGGAATGGCTCACTTGTTGCGAAGGTCAAATATGACGTTTCCTGTAAATCGACAGCTTTCATCCCCAGTCCTTGTGCTGAAAGTTTAGAAGGTTGACACGCCAACCCCCAATCGAGCCTACTTGGATTTGCGGCCAAGCAACTTGTGAGTTGGGTTATAACCCTCGAATAACAGAGTTAACAAAAGTTGGGGGGACTTATGACTTGTAGTGGGTCAACCACTGGGTCTCAACATAGCCGATCTCAACAATGGTGTTTGGTCCTTTGGTTCCGCTTTAAAGCCACGCAACAGCCGGGTACACTCAAAAACACGTGTGGACATCTTGAGAACGAAGTGCACCTCCTGCAGCAACTTCTCCGAGAGATTCGCTCGCTGCAGGAACTCCCGCACCACACTCCCCTCGGCGGAACCGGCTCCGGTTCCGGTGAGCTTCTTGAAGAGCTTCCAATACGCGCGGCTCTCCTCGCGGAACGTCCGTCCGGGGCTCCATGTTTCCCCCACGAAACTCACCTTGAATTGGCCCAGATCTTTGAAACCGAGTCCACTCTCCAGCGACTCAAAACTCATTGCTCATGGCGGTGAAAATCAGGGAGTCTCAGGGCCTGTTCCCCTCCAGTTCCCTTAAACATCACCCCGAAACTCACCTTGAAAGGGCCCAAAAGTTGATCTTCATAACCATAAGGAGAAATATAAGCTCGCTTCCTGCGTGGATTGGCCGACAAAAAGTCCGAACTTTTAGAGAATACCACTAAAAAGGACCAAACAAAAGTGACCTTTAGTCCGAAACGGAATCTGAGCTTTCCTACCCTCCAAAAAGCCTGGTCCTCCTGCGGCAAATGCTCGAGCCGCGCTAGCGACACCTCTGGGCTCCTGTCCCGGCCCATGGCAGTCGGTAGTCGCACCGGCAACGAGGGTATCTCTGGTTGGAGATCCTCTGGGTCGAGGTCTGAACACAATACTATCGATGATGATGATGATGATGCTGCTGATGCTGCTGCTGCTGCTGCTGCTGCTGCTGCTGACGATGTTGATGTTGATGATGATAAATGTCAATGATGAAACAATCATGAAATACTAAGATACTGAATGATAGAACAACAAGCAAAAATGATGATGATAATAATCCCCATCCCCTTTTGGTTTAAACTTGGAATAATTAACGGATGATGCACTGAAAATATAAGTTGGTCGGTGGCTTGTCTCAGTATTCGCTGGGATTTGTTCATCGCAACTGGTGCAGAATTTGGTGCACAGACCGGGCAAGCAAACTTTGGATGTGCCATACATGAATTGGGGCAAAGGGATGCAGGCCCCGTGAAATTTGATGGAGATTCCATTGAACCAATGGTTGACCCAACCAGGGTGCTCACCGCATTCTGTCGCCGAACATTCGCACCAAAAATACATTTGTTCTTTGCGATTTCCGTTTCATATTTTCAGCTTCCCCTAGTTGGGGATTTGGATTGGTGGTTTAGTGGTTGGGGGTTGTTTCCGATTTACCTTCTACAAGAACCAGGGGTTCAAATCCTCAAACCACGAATCCAAACCGCCAACTGGTTTCGTGACTTTGAGCCAACCTAATTCTGCTTGATGCTGCATTCTTCCGCCTGCACGCTACATGTCGCCAAGCCGTCGCGCACGAAAAGCGCACGTGGTCGCCCTGCAGTCGCCCTTTTTGCGGAAAGCTCCCGGCTCGATCCCTGCGTCCGTTTTCGGGTTGGGTCCGAAAAAAGACTCGCTGGATCGAGTCTGCCACCCTCAAACTAGCCTTAAAAATTGGATGCCCAAAACTTACGAGGTGCTTTTCCACAATTTTTCTGGGTAGTTTGAGAGTGCAGGTGGATCTTTCTACACTGGAGATCATAACTTGCCCGATTTCTTGAAGGGCAGCCAGGACTTTGCCCAAACCGCTCTGGTCTTTGGGTAATTCATATCCTGTCCACTGACATAGAACCTGACTGAGCACCAGTCTTTCTTTCTCAGCCCAGAAACTGCCCTTCAGAGGTACAGCGCCACATCCCTTCGGGCGTGGGCGGGGCTACCTGAGGTGACAACGTTTTAGACGGTGCCTTGGCACCTTCTGAGGCTTTGCCAAATGGGCAGGTTAAAAGGAACTTGGATATGGATTTGGACGGGGAAACGCAATGGTGGCTTTGCTTTTGGTTGCCAGCCAACCTGAAAAAGGCCTCAAAAGATCACAGCGATATGGAGGCTTCTCCAAATGGTGGACTTTTTTTGGCTGTAAACCACTGGCAATCCAAAACTTCCTATGCCCATCCTCACAAGGTACTTGGACTCCGGGTGCCCAAAGGATCCGATCGGGGCAGGTGGCTCCCCGTAACCAGAGTGCACCAACGGCATTTCTCTTGCCGGGCCTAAGGCCGCTCGGATCTGGGGCCCAGAAGCTGCCCGGTGAGAAGGCTCAACTTCTCATAGCACTGCCTCAGTGATACCGAGCTGGTTTGCGGCGGCGCCCCTGAAGCGCTCTTTTTCTGCCAGCCACATACAAGCAGGGTGCATTGCGGCATTCGGGCATTCGGGAGTTCGGGTGGGTGGGGTAAGAACGTTTGTTGCACAACAGCAGCATGTTTCACACAGCAGCCGCCAAGAACGTTTGTCGGACTAGCAGCAACACGTTTCACCACAGCCCCTAATAGCGTTCGTCGCGCAGAATGTTTCATGGCAGCCACATACAACGTTCGCCGCACAAGCAAGTAACATGGATAACACAACAGCTCCTGATAACGTTCCTCGCACAAGCAGCAACATGTTTCACACAGCAGCCACCATACTGTTCGTCACACAAGCCTCAACATGTTTCACACAGCAGCCACCAATGATGTGTGTCGCGCAAGCAGCAGCATGTTTCAACAGCCCCTCATAACATTCGTCGCACAAGCAGCAACATGTTGCACACAGCAGCCACCAACAAGGTTCATCGCACTCGAAGCAACATGCTTCAAGCAGCCACTTGTCTGTGTTGCATATCTCTTCAGGCTATGCTAGCATGGAGAAAAAAGGCTTAGGAAAGTAGAAACCAGGGTCTATCTCAGTAACAAACCTTTGGGCTGGTACCAGATACTCTGAAACCAGCTCCAGTTACCGCGAAGTCAGCTTTCGAACTGTTCGAACTACTTTTCATTTAGGCTCTTTCAGAAAAGTGTGATTTCCCCTCGAAAGACTACGTTTGTCATGTTTGGGCCACCCCTTTCACACAGCTTGCTTCTTTTCTGTGCAACCTCTTAAAATGAGAATATTCAAATATATGACCTTTTGCAAGTTTTGCCCTTGCGCTTGCAACATATTTTGGACCGAACGAAATTGATGACAGCGCGGGTAGAGAGGCTCATAGGGGGAGCAGCCATGGCCCAAGCTGGCGGCCCTTGTGGCACGAATGACGTCACCCAAATTGGGGCTTTGACCTTGGTTTCTGTTTTCCTTTTTAGCCCCGCCCCAAGCAAAAAGGACAACACACACGCACACAAGCAAGCAAACCCGGCCACAGCCTCCCAAGCTGGTTTCCACTACCCAGAACCACTATCCCCAATTTTAATGGGATAGCCACAAAAATAGGTCGCGAAATAAGGTACATATGCACGGTTTTTCCCTGGGGGTGGTTTGGGGATTGCCCAGAGGACAAGACGGCTGCGAGAAGCGCAGCAACGGCAGCTGGCTACTTGGCGACTTCGAGCCAAGTCTAGCTCTGTTTCGCCCTAAGCCTTCCCATTGCAACTGGGAGATGGTCTGAAATGTAATGACAGATCTTGGGGCATGTGGTGGACTCCCCGGAAATCCTCACCACCTATCGCTCAAAAGAACACTCAACTCCTTTCTCCGGAGAAGTGATCCGGGATCGCGGCTGTGCCGCCCTGGCAGTTCTGATTCCTCATGGAGCTGGTCTGGCAGAGGCACTGTGGCCTCACCGAGCGTGGTTCAAGCCTTGGGTTTCTTTCCAACCCTTGGCATGGTAACAAAGAACTTGTGCTTTTAGAAGCCGGTACAAAATGAACTCAACCAAAGAAGCAACAACTTCAACACATGCCAACGCCAACAGTGAAGGCTGTCACACGAACACCTCACCCAATGTGTTTGCACCACAAGCTTTGGGAACCAAAGCGGAAGGGTATGATCTTCTCGGGTAGCGGCTTCCATTTCCGCATCTTGAAGTCAGCTTCCCCCTAGTTGCTTTGGTTTGGTGGGGTTCAAATCCGAAACCACCAATTCAGGGTTACCTCAGTACAGGGATGTGTCTGTTTCAGGGCACCCCCAAAATGGCTTCGGCTTTCATTTCCGTTCCCCTTTTAATCCACTAAGCACATGTACCCTTCGCCTTAAAACGTGTAGCTTGAGGGTCCACCCAACCCATGCCAAAGAGGGCCATCAAAACCTGGTGGGGATTTGTGTCCAGCAACCACTTTGAGGTTCCAACTCTTGCAGATAGCCACATCGTAGCCAAGTTTCAGGGTCCAGAAGTCTATCTACAGACTTCCGCCACTGACTCCCCAACCCCAAATTTACCCTTCATGTTTGATTTTTTGTTTAAAGGGGTATGTTCCAGGGGTCCGTTGATACGTGTGGTCCTTCAGGTTTTTGAGATCAGGCCTCGGCAGCACCTTGTGGTTGCGGAGGCTTCTTGCCAATGGCTTCCCAGATCTCAGCCGAGGAACATGGGCTGGGGCCTTTCACATGAACCCCGAAAATCTTGACATGGTGTGGCTTGTCTTTTTTAGGGGACCCCCTCCCCCCCCAAAAAAGGACAACGCAACAAACTGGCTTCGGATTTGCTCTTGGTTTCCCTTTCAAACACACACAACAAAGGGGTACCCTCAAAAATAACAGACCCACATTGTGGGTGCGGCTCTATATAACAGGGTGAGTGGATGTGCCCTTGAGTTGCAATTGACTGGCGTTTCATTGAATCGATCGTTACTTTTCGAGCTTGCCCTCTAAACAACACAACAAAACACGTTTAAACTGTTTCAACCACTGTTGTCTAAACACCTGTTGATGTCCAGGCTTTGCTGCTGCACAAATTACGGGGGGCCCGCGTCGTCGCCGGGGGATTGGTTTCCCGAGCACTGCACCGCTGGCATCATGGCCGAGTTCTGTCTTGAGACGAAGTGTGGCCACGCCTGTCGAGCATGGACCAGAAAGGCAGCGGCATCACCAGGAGAGAGTTGAACTTTTAATTTGGCGTGCATCCGCATTTTTGGGAGTTCGCAGTGGGGACCAGTTCAATATATAGCATGCTTGTTTTTTTTTGGGAAATCAACGCCTACTTTCATAATCTCCAGTCTTTCATAGTGTTTAGTATTGGGGCGACCTGTTGTACCATGGCTGCACGAACATTGCGGGCTAGGAAGGAACGGGGATGATCTGAAATTGAATGAATTTCATTCACCTTGATGATCCAGCGGCTCTTCAATTCTGTACGCGGATTGCCCCCGTTCCTGCTTTGCCCTTTGTGAATGATCCCTTTCAATCCTTCAACAATATTATCCACGTTCCTTCTTAGCCCTGAATAATAATTCATCATCCGCTCTAGTAAGGATGATCCGGGCGAAAGGTTGAAGACGATCATTCACCAGAGCCGCTGGATCATTCAGGGCTAAGCCAGAATGGGCATGATCAAGCCCGAAAGGGCGACCCGCTCGACAAACAGCTTCTGGCGCTCAACCCATTGAATCATGGCAACCAAGATGAAGCCGTAAATGGAATCACAGGGTTGATTGAACAATGGCAAGAAAACACCCGGGCTTCGCAAAGCCTCGAGTTTTTCCGACAACTTCGACCCCGATCCGCTGCCTCTGGGCGAGATACAGACTGAGCTTCCTTGGTGGCAACCGGCCGACTCCAGCGTTTGTTTTTGCGATAAAGTGCCGGCAAGTAGCCCAATCGGAGATATCCCGTCGCATCAGGAATAACAAGTAAGCCTCGCCATGTCGAAAACCATATCCGCCAGGCATTGCCACACCCCAAGCGTCTAGATACAAGAACCCAGTTGATGAATAAAGCACCTGGCGATGTTGCTTGGTGTTCGTTTCCCAAGGAATCCGCATTGGGAGGAAACACTCGCCCGTGCCTGAAGGGTCCCTTGCTACCTTCGGATCTACCGGCTCATTTTGGCACATCCTCACAAGGTACCAAGGGGCTCTTAAAAATCAATCCGCAGGTCGAGCGAGTCTCTCACTTCCTGAGTTGACTGCCCAAAACAGTTCGAACCTCTTGTCTGCCACTACAGCACGGTCTTGCCACGAATCAAGTTTGGGAACCCAGGGGGTGATTTCAAGCGCTCACACCGCACGGCCTCTCTTGTGATGACCTCATTGTCGTCCGCCCGAACCTCAACTCTCAGCCCGCAACTCCCCCGGCCAACATCTTATGGTGTCCACCAAGCCACGCGGGAAATTTGGTATACAACCTTCAGGCACCAGTCTTGGATTTCCACTTCCGTGCAGCCCCTCAAGACTTTTCAACTCGTGCCTCATGCTGCAAGTTCGGTCTCGGCTCGAGGGCCAAAGAGAGACAAAGCCAAGAAGCTCAAAAGGCAACATCGATCGCCAACCCAAAAGGGGCGCCATGGGCGCCGGAAAGGTCCGAGCTCGAAAACCCCCGCGGCCTTCCCCCCGCCTCGTGGACATCGGTATCATTAAAGTGGTAGAAACGATTGTGCAGGTGATGCCTCGGCGAGACGCCGAAAGGAACTCGGTGTGAACATCCAAGGGTTTTCTTAGGTGCAGCTTCATGCACCTCAAATGCAAAACTAAGTCACTGGACCCGGCCCATTTTGCCTTAAGGGAAACCCTCTGCCGATTCCATGGTCGGAAGGTACGGGTCCTTTTATGTACCTTGTGAGGTAAAAGACAAAAAATACCCATGGCCCCTGGACATCAGAAGGCGCTCGGGGAAACCATCAGAGCGGACTGGTTTCGGACCGGCTTCCCGCCTGCAAATGGCAGTATAGTGGCCACGTCCAGCGTGCCCTATGTGATTCGCTACCTCATCCGCCGGTCTCTCCGAGCACAACTCCAGCAAGCTAAAACGGTTGCATCACGTTCACTTCGGATTAGTTGTTGGTCAGGACCATACTTATGAAGATACCCTTTAACATGTGGGTGATTTCCCCAAGATGGGTGATCACGAGCAAAAATCCTCAATGCTGAGCGCCCAGCTGAGATGATATCGTATGTCAAGGACCCCTGACTTGTTGTGCCCATGCCACTGCTTGCGGGGGCCCCTTCGGGTTTCCAATCCAAACAAGTCTTTTGGACATTAAGTTTAATTACCTTTGGTCTGAGTGTTGCAAACAGTGAAGTGCCAGTCTGGAGCTGAAGATCAGTCTCTGACGGATTCCATCAATTCGTTTCGTCACGCGCCTTCTGTTGAGAGCTAACGAAGTTGGACAGGTCCACACTCAATGGAGTCCTGACGTTACGCGAGTCACGGCGGAAATCTGGCTCAGCCTCTTTGCTTAAACACGTGTTGCACGTCATGGCTTCCAGTTTGTTCGCCGTCCATACTCCCCTGCAAACGCGCATAGACCCCAAAAAAGGATACCACAAGGAGTTTCCACCAAACATGCTGGTGGGCCCAACTCCTTGCCTTGGAGGACGCATGGACCCTCAAGAACTGTGTCATTCATTCACATTCCAAGCCCTCCTCCCCAGCCCTCTTCGACTGCTTCCCCAAATAATGGGCCCTTTTTGGGTGTTGCTAGGAGACCTCCACAAGGTGGGGGGGTCCTTCGGGCTCTCCTTTGAAACCAAAACCTGGCACCTACTCCCCAAAACGACGAGGGGCATAGGGAACCAACGGCTTGCGCCGGCTCCTCAGCCGAACGTTGATCTTTCGGAAGCGGCACGTCGAGCTGTCGAACTCAAATCTCTTCAAGTGAAGGACCAAGACCTCCGTTTGGCTCGTCTAGGAATCAGACTGGGACCCAAACCTGGACTTCAGCGTTTCCTCTAAGATTCCCTAGTTTAGAAACATGGTTCCCCAAAAATGGTTCCGCCACTACAGGACCCCTCTGTCGAAAAACCATGGTTTGCTGACATTAGGGCTACTTTCCTTCAGGAATCATTTCTAGGGTGGGTTCCATGGCAATGTGGACAGGACGGTAAAATCGGATTACTTCTCTTGGAGCACCTGACCCAAAGGTTTGATTGCATTTGGGGGAACCCAACTAATCGTGCAAGCAGAACCTTGGGTTCTGTGTCCCCACAGATTTACAAACCCGATCCATGAGTAAAGAGATGTCTTTTTGGGGAGCGCTCCGAACTCTTTTGTGGGTTCCTTCCGTTACTTTGCAGAATCACTATCCCCAGGAAGTTGGACCGGTACTATACCCTCGATACAGTGTCTGCTCGCTAAATCAATTGGCCCTTCCAAAAGCTGCTGCCATACCACGCACCAGCTCAAGACCTTGAGGGCTTGTAACTTCATGAACAAATCAGGGGAAGGGGGTGTTGAGGGGAGTGAATCCTCCTGAATTTGGATTGGAGTGCTCAAGCCAGGACATAATTTCTCTATGTTCCGCGGTTTTGATCTCCTGGCCAAGTCGCTGGTGGGAGCTTCCATAGATCGATCTTCTTGATTGCATCCACCCTTCGCTTGCACTTGGGGCACCTGGCGCTCACGAAGAAGCACGCACAAACACCCCCCATGTTGGAACCCACTTTCTGTGACACGCAGCAAACATGAAGTGACGAACTCCCGTGTTGGTGTCACAGAGAGTGGCCCGGAATACGAAAAACGCCCAGCATGCCTTGCCTCCATCTCTCATCCCCAGTCAACTTCTCCTCCTTCAAGAAATGCATCAAAGCATCCTGGCGCGCAGCAGAGGGAACGCCTCCAGCCCGTAACTCCCACGATTTCACGTCCTCAAGGCTGTTCATGCCGTAGTGCACAGGGAGCGCAATGTACAAATACCTGAGCGTAGCTTGAGGGCAGCTTTTGAGGTGTTGCCTAACCAAAAAGAGAATCAAAGGGGAGACGGTATTCCTGGGGTGGAGAAACAGCTTGTGTCAAATAGCGAAGAATGGCCCGAACACCTCCTTCTTCATGAACCAGTTGTTGATCGACTGGGTTCCCATGGTTGCATGCCTTCAAACCACCACCAAAAAGTTAGGTCCCCTTCTGATGTCTTCATCCGACACGCGGATTAGTCCTGCGAGAGAAAACCGGTGCCTTCTCCCAGAAGTGCAATCACCAACCCAGGCTGTATGAACCAACTGGGTTTGCAATGGACATCATTGTTGTCTAACAAAAACTGAATCCAAGCCTTGCTCACAGATGTATTTAGAGTTTCTTAAAGTGGTGGAGCCCTTTTTTCTTGATGCTTGAAGGGAAGCAGCCAGAAGGAAACCAAGCATTTCGCTTCCCCCATTTGGCGAAACATGCAAGGGGACACACCATTTTGAGGGTCCCAATCCCTTTTTTGACACCCATGGCACCCCCAACAATTGTGCTCCTTTCAATTTCCCTTGAAACCCAACCAAAAGAGGGTTCCTTCTCAACAATGGCACACCCATTTGTCAACCCAAAAGGCAAAGAACTCGCATCTCTGGGCTCGCGGCGGATCGAAAGTCTTGGACTGGTGGCCGCAAATGCAGCAGGTGAGACGGGATCTCAGCTGACCCTGCGCTGTCGAGCTCACAAGGTGCACCCCTTTCCATAGGAGTCCGGAACCAGGAACCCCAAAAAATATGGCGCGCCATCTTGGGCGTGTCTTTTTTGTTAGATTTTAACGCAAAGCACATGTTTCAGGGGTCCCCTAAAACGACACACTCAAAATCAACAACATGTATGCCTCAAATGAATATCCGAGACCCAAAGGAGGTTACTTTAAACATTTGATGGCGGTTTTCGCGTTGGGAAATGACACCCAGCCACATCCACACAATTCACCTTTGAAACAGACACAAGAAGCGACAACCGTGTTGCTTTTGTGGATTGATCTCCAACCGTTCGGGCAAAAAAAACACTTTGTGCTGTTTCAGTAGGGGTGTCTTATGCAAAAAAACTTAGTTTTACTTCGCCCACCGCGGAACAAAAATCACCCCGCCGAACGCCTGGAAGAGGTCCACGAGAACAGACTTGTGCCGCATGAGGTGCTTCATCCAGGTCCTAGGGCACATGGGTGTGCGTTCGTTGGAGTAACGCCCGGGATTGATTAAGAAACCCTTCCTAGTTGCAGGGGTGTTTTCCTTCTAAACGTGCTGAATCTCCACTTTAAAAGCGACACCCCGTATTAATCAACCAGGGGTTTATTCATCCGGGTCTTGGTTTGAAGGGACGACGCATCATCATTTGGGGGGTCCAAATCCGATGTTCGACACATTTCCACAGGACACATGCGAGGCCCTTTTGCCATCCTTTAGGTTCATCCTCGCTGGTTTGGATTGGCAGTTTCGAATCACCAATTCAGACCACGCTGCTTGACTCAGGTTGTCCTTGGTGGCTTGGATCGCCGGACTTGCCTTTTGAAGAATGCGGGAAGGTACCCGTCCAAACCAAACCAAAACCACCCTTCAGGGAAATCGATTGAGGCTCAGGCAGTGCGGCGACATACTCCTCCCCCTTCTCACGCTCCAACTGCAAATGCGTGGGGCTTTGGGCACGAGCGAAGTTTGCTGAAGGAGCCACCCCAGAACGCAAAATATGATGCTTACCACAGGAAAAAGACTTCGGAACCCAACGGCATGGAACAAAGTGGTTTCCCTCCCAAGGTGACTTTAATACTTTCAAGTATATTTATTTGGTATCACAAAAAATATTCAGCGCTAGGTTGATGGAGTCATCCAACTACCCTAGTGGGGATGCTTCAACTCGAATTTGCGCCAAGCGCTCCAACCACCCTCTGTGCGGGGCTGACAGTCCCTTACTTTCGCTCAAACAATAGGTTCCTTTCGTTGGGAGGGGTGGGAGGGCTTTGCTAGTCTTCCAAGGGACAATGTAACGGTAGATGGAGGCCAGGCTTCACCAAGGTCACTCTACATTTTGGCATGAATCTTGCATGGGGGGAATGCCAACCTCTCATTTTCAAGTTGCTATGTTCTCTGATGCAGAAGGGAACTGTAGCGTACAGGGAATCAAACATCTGAAAAAGGATGTCAATCTGCTGAAAACCCGTATGGTTACCGCATTAAGACTAACTTGCTGCGAGTGCCATTTGGCCTTGTCTCAGATTTTTTCCAGCCCCCAAAACAAAGTGGTTTCCTTGGCTGGCTTCAAACATCACCTTTTGGCCCCTGCGCAAACTTGGGCAGGGTGAAGCTCATAGGGCAAATGTGGGGAGCCTTGTTCCAGATTCAAAAGGGCTCCAAGAAAGACACCGCCCGCGTGACCCATACACCAATGATCCGAAACCATTTCTCAGAGGGGTTCCATCACTCCAAAGCAGGGCTTATGGGATACATAATCACCTGATAGCCCCTACACAAGGGGTGTATACCCACTAGGGTAGTGGGTTTGGGGGTTAGCGTCTCAGAATACGGTGAAGACTGGGAAAACCTATGCGTTGACTCTGAAGCCATGAGCCAGACCCTGACGCAACAAACGGCTTGTCTCCCGGCTTGGGACCCAAACTTCAGTCTCTCAAATGGGTCTATCTGCCTCCGAATCCGATCATCAAACACAGAACTAGGTGCAAATTATAAGCCACATTCAAAGCGCCTATTGTGTGGAAATTGAGAGCTCGTCCACCCATGTCCCTCCAAATGGACCATAGACTGGATACGTTGACCAAACCTCAAAAACGCGACACAGCTACTGAAAGTTGCGCCAGATCAATTTTGCTCTCTCACTCTCTCAACGCACCCAGCTTTGCCACAAGCTGCGCAAAGCGAATTTGCATTGTGCTTGTGCCGATTGGTTTCTTCTTCTTCTTCTTCTTCTTCTTGAATTGACTCTTTTTCTGTTTCTTTCTTTCTTGTACTGAGCAGTTCACCTGGAAGTCAATTCAATCACCAGAGTCAAACTCTGCTCGGAAGTCGCGTGCCTGGGCCATCCTCTCGTCTTCCTCGTCTGAATCCACTTTGGGTTCCGACTCCCTCCTCTTGTTGTCCTCCGGGTTGCTATCATGCTACGAGTACTGCACCCCTCAAGGACATGACCCCTCTACAGGACCCAACACAAACACCACCAGGTTGGTTGAAAACAAAACTGTCGATGTGCGTCTGTGTGGACATTGTGGCTTGCCTTCAAGCGAAGCCAAGAGGCACCCCGACCATGTTGTGGGTTACCCTTTCCACGGTCAATGACAACTCCACATGAACCACTGTTCTCAGAAAATCCTCTCGCCGCGCTTTCGGATATTTTCGTGAAACCCAGGGGAAGCACCAAGCGTTTGGTGGGGTCAAACCAAGCGATGCCGTCCTTGCGTTCCACCTTGACCAAGTTCAGGTCTTCATGCAGGCCATCCAGAAGGTAGGCGAGAAGCTCCTCGCGCGAGTTTGCATGAAAACCCCTCAAAATCCCATTGAAACCAAGTCGAGGAGACTTGGGAAACTGAGGTTCTCAAAAACAACCCCCGAAAAGGGTGTTTTTGGAGTTGGTACCCATTCCTGGTTTGTTTTGAAGGGAAACAACAAGGAAAGCCACTTTGGGGGGGTCCGATTCCCAAACAAGTCACATCCAAAGGACTAATCGTCAGGCTCAAAACTCCACACCCCAGTCCTGCGCGTCTTGCTGATCTGAGTCTCGGAACAAATGCCGGGCAAACCTGAGGCTGGAATCGCTTTCAACTGCAACTTCTCAGCTTCCCCGCAAAGGTCGCTTTGAAGGTTCTTGAAAAGAGAGGTTGGGGCTGGTGTCCCATTTGCCCCCTACAAAAAGTCAGGGGTCAAATTTTGCTTGCAGTGTTGAGGGAATCAACAGCAGAGAGAAAAAAACCAGCGAGGCTACCCGATGATTCTCCACGCATCGCTTTGATCCTAAGCTCCGCGCTTGGAGAGAGTATTGTGGAGCTGTGAAGGTGAGTGGGTGCGAGTGCGCCGTTGCCAGAGCATCTCCTGGCAATTGACATTTGGGCGTGTCTTTGCTTAGGGGAACCTTGATTGGTTTCAAAGGAAAACCAGAACAAAACTCACAATTTGTTGGGCACTCTGTTTTGAGACACACCCTTTTTGCATGTGCCACGGCCTTCTCAAAAGAGTCTACTGATTGACAAATTCCACTTCGCCGTTGGGATGGGTGGCTTCTCCCAGTTTTCTAGTCGGGTTTCATCCAACTGGCGCGCTTTGCGGATGTATGATAATTCCCGAACGCCCGCCTGCAGCTTGGCGAATCCTTTGGCCAAATGCCTGCGCACGGGTGCCCTGTGCGCCGCAGAAGCACCAAGGCAAGTGCTGCTCTGATTACCGTGGGGCCTCCCAAGAACTACACGTTTAGATCCTGTAGCCCCTCGCAAAAAAAGGTGAAGGAGAGGACATGTTCCCCCGTACCTTTTTGGGGGGTCCATGTCAGGTTCGCAGTGGAAACGGGAGTGGAGCGGACCTTTTTCGCACGTCACATTGCGGTATTTGAGCAATTGGCACCGCGGGCTGGCTCCACTTGCAGTTGAAAATGGGCAGATGTTCCGGGCAGGTCCCCTGTTCCAAGCGTTTTGTAACCCACTTCGGCCAACATGGGGGTGCTTCGCAACTCCCTTTGCAGTATATAGTAACATAGTATCACTAAATCTCGCCTTCTCCCCTCCCATCTTCGGATTGACTGAAATCGGGCAGAGACCCCCCCTTTCACACGGTGTTGCAAGGGAAACCAATGTCAAAGGATCCCCTTCCCTCTCCCTTTCAACTGGCCCCGAAATTTGAGCCTAGCTTGGCTCGCTGGAAAGGGCAAAAAACAAAACCAATGGAACCCATCTATTTCTACCCCAGACCCCAACTATGGCAGCTCTGCAAGGACCTGACCTCCCTTACCATCCTATGCTTCCTCCCCTATTCTCGCCGACTGGCATTTGGTGTATTTGGTGCATTGATCGCGCCAGATTTCACCTCCGCGCCGTCTCAGTCGTCTCAGTCTGCCCGCAGTCGTCTCAGTCCAGGCCCAGGAGCTGCGGCAGCTCCGCCACGGAGCGCAGCACCGCGTCGGGCCTCGCCGCCGCCAGCGTCTCGGTGCATTGGGTGCCGCTGAGCACCGCCACGGCGGCCACCCCCGCGTTGCGAGCCTCCCGGAGCTTCCCGGAGGATTCCCCGGGTTCCCGAGCGGATAATAAAATGGTCTCAAACAACTTGTCGACCAAACTACCCGAGATCTGTGACATATTTTGGTGACTCCACTTTGAAGGGGGGAAACACCATTCTTTTCAACCATCGCTCTTTTGGAACACCAGCCCTTTTCCCCGAATTTCTGAAAGGTTTCTAGAAAGAAGGATCCCTGGAAAGAATGGGGGACTCGACACAATGGCAGAGTTGCTGGTTTTGGTGTCCATTGGAATGCATTAAATAAACATAGGCAATGTAGCACTATGAACCTCACACACTGGAAATCAGCTGTCCTTCAAATCAAGATGAGGGGGATTGCAGACCCTCAACAACAACACACCTGCCCCCACCAAATTACCCGACATCTGTGACAATATATTTTGCTTTATGACTACTTCACTTTAAAGGTGTTTCCTTCCGTATCACGGAATGTGCGCGTAGCCCATTTCTCGCAACCATGCCTCAAGGAGGAAGACGGAAGGGAGGAAAACTGTTGCGTCCAAGGAGCTGAACCTAAAATGGTTGGCTTCTCGGTCTCCTGTTCGTTTCCTTTTGGTGGAAAGCCAAATAACCCTTGTCCTTCAGAAAGCAATTGGGCTGAAGGTCCCCCAATCAACCGTTTTCCGGTCCACCCCCCCCCACCCCCCCCACCCACCCAAAAACGGGGTTAGAACGTCTCACTTGGGGCTGAAGATATGAGCCTCCTCAATGTCCACCACGGTGTCGCCCACTTTGACCACGGCTTTGGGGTCCTGAGCTTGCCCCAGAAAGCCAGCCTGACCCTGGCTTTGGGTTGAGTTGGCAAAGCACAGGACATCTAGCTGAGGCCATAGGTGGCCTTTTGAAAAAATAGATGGCCCTGGTAAATGGAACACAACCCATCTAAACCAGTGCCATCTATTCTTAACCAAACTAACCTAAAAAGGACGCCGAAAGCTGGGGCCCCCTGGACTTCATTTACATAGCATGCGTGTTGACAAACCAACCATCGCAAGTAAAGGAATGAGGGACACCTGTGGAAAACGTGGAGTCAAGCATACCTTTTGGGGGGCCGCAGGCGCGCCAAAGATAAGCTAAAGAAAAGCAGGTTCCCTTCAAATGTTGTCTAAGAGAACATGGAAACATGATCCCTCAAATGCCAAGGGATGGGAACATGGAGGACATGCGGAAGAATGAGACATCCATATGTTGGCTCCCTAAGCCCGGAGTGGCAGCCCCAAAAGGCAAGGACTGATACATCCAAATGGTGGGAACTGAAATGAACCTCTCCAGGCTTGCTCCAAAAACGCCACGGACAGCTGCCAGGGCGAAGAACATGGGGAAACAGTAAAACGGACACTTGGGATTTGTTGCTTGGGTCTGTCTCCAAGCAAAAAATGGGCAAGGGCTTCCTGTTGGCTTCCTAAAACCAAAAGTGGGTACCGAGCCTCAAAAAAAACCTGACCGTCTGGACCCTCCAACTACTTTTACACATGGGCTCTTGCTCCAAGTTGTTGAGCTGTTTTCCTTCTTTGTGGGAAATTTGACAGGGATCCTTACATTTTACACTTGAACATTGCCTTTGTAAATGGAGGTGTCCCTTTATTTTGGTGGAAAAGCCATGATTTTGTTCCATGCTTGCAAGATGTACGAGATTTTGTTCAGGAGCCCTGTTTGAAACTCCCCATTTTGCGGGCGGCGGTGATGCCGAACTCTTCCATGGCGGTGGTGATCATGATGGGGTCCGGCCGGCCCTTGCCCAAGGCCACCGAGGAGTACGCGGCGTCCACGGTCCACTGCAAATTCGCCACGATCTTCTGAACCACGGGCTCTGGGAACCCGGAGCCCACGCAGATCTTCACCTAACAAAAGCTGTGACCGGAGAAACCGGACAGCAATATGCTTGGCCTCGACTATTTTTCAGGTGTCCATCCACTTTTTCAGATGTCCACATGTTGCCCTCAAAAAAAAACAAATGAGCTGCAGAAGACCTGAGGCTCGCTTTGTTTGGTTGCCAAAACCAAAAACCACAGGGTGAAGTATTTAGGGCAGACTTAGACCAAACAAAAGGGAGCCAATGAAGGTTCGCCCTGCCTTTGCAAACAAACCCAAAGGCACTGGAATCTTTTTCAAACACGGGGCCCTGAATTCTTTTTTTGGGGCGATCCCATTTTTAACGGGTCAAACAAAGACTCGACCCCGGCACACCCAATGCTTCGCTTGAGCCACGTTCCGCGCCCGCAGCGCGGCGAAAGTCTCGGAGACGCCCTTGATCTCGCTGTTCATTCGGCCGGTGAGCTTGTCCAGCTCCACCTTGAAGATCTCGAACCTCAGCCATGGGTCTGTTACTTGGGGGTTGGCGCCCAATTATTGGTGCTTTCAAAGCGAAATCAAAAGGACAACCATATGTATTTAATTTATCTTTTTGGGGGGGGGAGGTTTTTGCAGGGGGGAGGTCCCATAACAAAGACAGACCCACAACTGACCCACATGCTCCATGGAAGTACTTACCCACAAAATCCCCCAAACCAAGGCAACCATAGCCCAAATGGTCATAATCCATCTACAATCATGCTGGATGCTTTATTCGGGTATTTATTGGAAGCTTGGTCACACCATGCTCCATCCAGGGCAGTACGTACCCACAAACCAACGCACATGGGTCAAATGTTGGTATACATCGTTTTACACAGCTTGAAACAACTCCAGCTGTTTGCCAATTTGGTGGGGAAAAATGTGTTTGAAGCACAAATGTTCACAACGTTCGAGCCTCGGCAGGCCAGCTTCATGTATAGGATGTTTATGTTTACACCCCAAGCTGGTCAAATATGTGCGCACGTAAATATATATATATATATATACATACGCACACACGTATTACTACTTGTATGGTGTGTGGGAACTAACCCCTTGCCACAATTTCGTGCCAACACGCTTAAGGACACTCGCTTGAACGCGCCCAACACATTTACGCCCTTTTGTTGTTTGCTTCCGTGTCAGGGGAACGATCCGGTTCCCAACAGGGCCGACTTGGTTTTAAGACTGGAAAGGAGACTTGGCCACCAAAGACTTCACCTTTGGCGAACTGATCCCCGAGTGAGTCGGTTGGGAGGTTGCCCAACCTCAAGACATCGCCCCAAGCTCCTGAAGCTCAGGAAGCTCAAGCCAGCGAAGGAAAGCTCATGGGGCGTAAAACCCGCGAACGTATGTACGTATGGCTGGTCAAACATAGGTATCCAAACCATTGGAACCCTTGTAAATGTGAACATGGCCTAAAACGGGCGGTCCCCTGGTGGCTTATTTATGACCCGTAGACATATTTAGTCTACCCAAAGAAACGCATGCTTGTGGGGGGAACCCGCTCCAGGTCAGGTAGCAACTTCTCGATTTCGGCCTCCTCGGGTTCTTTTCCCCGTAGGGAGCCCAGCAAACGCCTCAAGGCCTCCTTCTTCTCATAGCCTCGCACTGCGTTGGCTCGCTCGAAGTCTACCTGATTGGAGCCCGGTGGTTTCGTTGGATTTGAACCCCTGTCTCTTGTAGAGGGTAGAGGGGGAAGCATTGCCGGAACACCTCCAAACTCCAAACCAAAGCCATTCCCAATAGCGATCATCCCAAACCAATACCCAGAAAGACCCTTAGAACATGGGGTTGTCTCAAAATAGAGAGCTGCCCTCCCGCAAAAAACAACAACCACCAAGATTGTGGTTTTCCTTTTGGCTTCCCCATAAACCAGGCCCAAGGGGCGGGTTTCCCTCCAAGAAAAGACACCCCCACCTTGGCCTGTCCCGGGCCCGGGCCCCGACCTCCGAGCCGTCGTGCGCTTTGAGCGCCGCCCGAAAGGCCGCGATCACCAGTGGCTCCCCATCCACCTGTGACACGGGCCGAGGCCTCCTGTCTTGGGTTCCCCGTTGAGACAAACCCACAGATATGAAAAGCTGGTCTCGGAAAAGTGGTTTGGATCTCGCTCAGGCGACTGACTCACTTGGCGATCCAATGAGATTTGAACAAAGTGGACACAAATTGTTTCAAAGATGTCCGCCATTTCGGGCCCCCCGTTTGAAACCGATTGAAACGATGGCATAGGCATGCAAGGGTCGAATCTAAATCATGAAACTCCTGAACAGTAGACAATGCAAGTTACATTCATCCAACCATTGTTTCATGGTGGTCCGACTGCTGTGTCGCAGCATTTGGGAGCTGCTCAAAATGCGATCGGACCCCCTGGTTGACATTTACAGGGACTCCAAAAGGAAACCCTTTCCGTTTTTGGAGACCGAATCCTATTCTAAAAAAACACAAAACAATCAAAACCTGAGATCAAGCCCTGAGGATCCCAGGCAAAGCCGCCACATGATATCCATTCCTTTTGGCGGTTGAACTTCCTGCGGAGATTGGCCAAATGACTCCAAACTTTTTTTCCAAACCCAAAAGCGATTCAAGTCCGAAGCGGACCTCAGGGAGTGAGTCAATTTGTGGTTCCCTTGGTTGCCTCGTTCGAGAGGCCGTGTGGCCCATGGGTCAAAATCAAAATCGTACCCCCCGTGAACATCCCAATCCAACCACTACAATCTCGACTTTCTCTGGGCGGTGAATTCACCTAGCAACCAAAATGGGATTCCAAAACGGTTTTGACCACAGCCACTTGCAGTCTGGCCACCAAGTCGTCCACGGTGGTGCCCGCCATGTCGAAGACCACCAGCCGCACATCCGAAAAGGCGCTGGACGTAGCCGCCATGGCCATTGGTGGATTTCCACCGGGGCAACAGCTGTCGGAAGGGGCCAATTCGCTTCTTGGGTGTAGTTGTTTTTGGGGTCCGTTGAGGTGTGGTTTGGTTGGGTTTTTTTCCAGGGCAGCCCACTTTTTGGGTGTTTTGTTTGACAAATAGTCCCTTGTGGGCGGCTTACTGCGACTTTTTGTGGGTCGCTCCAAAGGGAGGTCAAAGGGAATCCACCGATTGGCCCACTGCCCTATGTTGGGGTTCCCTCATTTCCAGAGCATTCCTACGCCTTGGTCCGCCCAAAGGGGCCCGAGTCCAGTCAGCTATGAACCCGTGAGCCTGAAGGCTCGGATCAACTCTGCCTGAAGCTGGCACCGATCGAGCCAACGGATTGCCCATGCACTTCAAGACTTCAAGACCTGGAAACTGTTGCAATGTGAAGCATGGACTTGCAAAGAGGTCAGGCAAAACAGGACATAGACCCGTTCGACCTGATCGTCCATTTCGGGTCACTTTTGAAGTTTGGTCCCTCGTGGCTTGCCCATGAGGTTCGAAGAAACCCGGCAACCCCTCCCATAGCTTTGCGAACGCCACACCAGGTGCCCGTTGGTTACTCGAACCTCGGGTAGTTCAGAAACCAACCGAAAAGGACAACCCACCTTCCCCGCCCAAAAGGGGAGGTCGGCGGCATCGCACCCTCCAGTCCCGAAAGGGTTGCTGGGGTTGAGCTCCTCGGATCGCGCGGGTCCCCATGCGACGCATGCGATCCATGCGACTCAGCACCCTCAGTAATTGTAGTTCGGGATGTCCATTGGTGTGGTTGCCATGTTACCATTGTGCTATAATGGGCTTCCAGGAACCAAATTATCAAACTTTCGTTTGCAAAGGGTGGCTGCACTTGATTACTTTGGAAGAAAATGGCAACCGGGAGCATTGGCAATGGCACTGTCAATTCAAGGGACCCAACGTGGGTTTCAACAAAGCACTACCCACATAGGGCAAACAGGTAAGTACCCGAGAGCCCGCTTGCTCTAAAGATTTGCGGCTTGCGCAAAGCAAGAGGACACCTGGCGCTCCTGAAGCTTGGATGTAAAATTGTTGCGAAGCAGGTCTGGCGACGTGGGTAGGGAGCATCCAAAAACCGGATCCTCAAAATCAGCTTTAGGTTGTTGCACATCTGGTGCCCTTCAAAAGGCCCCTGACAATGGTCCCTTGGAGAGACTGACATGTGTACTTTCCCCGCGAGTCCTCGGCATACTTGCCAGTGAGAAAGTAGGCGCTGATGGGTTCGATATGACTGGCCAAGGCACTCATGTGATTGCTGAAGGGTAGCCCCTTTTTGGGTTTTAAATGGAAGCCAAACGGAAATGCAAAATCCCTTTGAAGGTCCCCCTATTTTTAACATACCCAATTGTTTAAACATGTGCTCCTAGAGTAGGTCGCCCTGCAAAATATGTCCCGTATATACATCACATGCATTATATAGGTAGGTACCCCTCATTTCAAGGAAACTTATTGCAGGGCCCTCCTGCTTGGGGTTTCGAGCTCGCAACGGGGCGGGTGTCCAGACATGAGCTCCAAGTTTGAGACGGCTGAGCGGCACCTGCCTCAGGCATTGTAGCCCTGCATTCATGAAGCAGGTGTTGCCCATGTTCACCAAACCAACCAATCCACCTGACAAAAAAGCCAATGCCGAGACTTGTGCGAGAATCCGGCGAACCTCGACCAAACATTGGGCTGGAATGGCTGGATTCGATCCGTTGCTGCAACTTTTGCTGGGGCTCCCCAAAAAGTCAACCCCCGCGATCCTGGCGATGCAACGCGCGCCTCTAGATTTGGATATGTGCGCCTGGTTCTTTCCAAGCCTGCGCTCGTCCGTCGCAACTTGCTGTCGGCCCCTCCACCGGGATCCCCCCAGGCCTTACCCCGCGGAACCCACAACCCAGTTGCCTGTAGCTTCTTCAGTTGCAAACCCATAACCCGCCGTTACAAACAACTTCCATCGAATCACATGGAACCTTCAACAGCATTTTCAGGCAGTTCTAGAGGTGAGGGTAAATTACCAAAAGGGATGTACGTTGCCTTTCTATTTGCAACTTAGCCTGGGATTGGGGCACCTCGAAAAGGAATGCCTTTGACAGGTTGGCATTTCAAATGGAAACTCGTCTTCCACCCAGCCAGGCTCCATGGGAACGTGGACAGATTGGTCCGTGTCAAAAGGGGACCCTCAACAAATAGCGAATAGGTGGATGCTCCTTTTGGTTCGCCTTAAAACCACTTTGAAAGAGTGCCCTCAAAGAACACCCAAATGTGTTCGCCTGCAATGCGCAGGTACCATTTTCACTTTTCTGGGATCTGGGATAGGACACTCAAAGGGACAAGGACAACCGAAATCCATGTACAAGCTCCACTCTTTTGACACATGCTCTACGGCTAGCTTCCCCATTCTTTCCAGGGATCCTTCTTTTCAGGAAACCATCAAAAACCCAGGGAAACAGCTGGTTATTGAAAAGAACGATGGTTGGAAAGAATGGAAAAGGAATCAACCATGGCATCCCCTATCTGGACCCTTTCTCCCAGCTACCATCTCTGAGGTTCCGGCGAGCGCTTCCACTGATCTGCAGGTGTCCAGGGGACCTGCGGACCGGACTATGAAGCTGTTCATCGAAACCACACAAAAGCCCCAGGATCAAGGATACCCTCCCCCCCTTCCCCCAAAGCTAATTTAATAACACAACACCCAGCACCCCCCAACAACTGTTTTTGTCCAAAATCCCATTGCTACAGGAATGAAGAAGCAGCGGTTACTTCAATATTTTTATATCTTTTTTCTGAATGTCTTATACTGTTGTCAATATTATTTGAAAATAAAATTCAATCAATTTTCCTGATTGCCGGACATGGGCGCCTCCGCTCTTGGGGTAAACCCCCAGTGGGCAACTTGGCTTCCGCGCCAAGTCCTCTGGCGCAGCGCCGCAGATGAAGATCCGGGGTACCTGGAACCAGATGAACTGCATGGGTTCTCCATTTGGGTCTCCAAAACATGGTTGGCTCAACATACGGCTCAACATGCTGTTGCTATTGGCTCAACTCTTGTTGGTGCCTTGAAATTCCTCTTGGGTTTCCTTCTTGTTTCTTTTCTGAACAAAAGGGTTGGCCAAACTCATTTTGACACAAACCTAAGTTTATGGGTGCGCTTCCTTTTGCGGCTTGGTACCCTTGGGAAATGTCGAAAAACGAAACCCAAAGCCAGCCAGGCTTTTCGCGCGGGCTTTTCGCGCGGCCCCGCCTGCCAGCTCAGGCCTCGTCGGCCTTCCCTGCCCGAATCGAAGTGCCAAGGATGGGTTGGATGGGTTCAAACGGCCACCCGGCCACGCCAAGCTTCCCTTTAAACGTGGGTCGCCCCAAATTGTTGGGGTGAGTTCCTTGTTGGTTTAACAGATAGTTTGAGGGTCCAGGCAAACGATTCCCTGTTGCTATTTGTGATCTCCGCTATGCTGCGAGGCATATGAACATACTTCTGGTTCGACGCGGGAGCAATTGCCAGAGGCACCCATGCAACTTCAACAGCTTGGTGCCTGTCGACTTCCAAGACTGAGAGATGAACACCCAAAGGAGGTTAATTGTTGTTGGAAGAATAGTGGCCTAGACATGTTCAAACAAAAGGGCCGGCAAAATCTCACGTGACTCAGTCGCCGGCTGGTTGCTGCTTTGAGGCCTCGCATGCCGTTCAGCTAACGCTGAGAAGTCGAGAGCATGGCGGAGTATGGTAGAGGCACCCCTCCGTATGCAGTCACGGGGATTCCCACTGTACATAGGTGTCCTTTTTAGGGCAAATAGATGCCCTGGTAGATGATTAAACCACCAGGTAAACCAGGGCCATCTATTCTTCTACCAAAACAACCAAACAGGACACCTATGCGCTGTATTGCAGAAAAGGTGGCAAGATTGAATCTTCAAGCTCAATGTCCAAGAGTGGGCGAGAAATGCTGACGCTATGGCCGCGCTGAGCGCGTGGCGACTCAGCAGAACCGGCATGTCCCATACGTTTTCTCAGGCAGCGCCAGCAATTTCTCCGTCACCTCAGTCGAGTCAAAATCAACATCTGGTAGTAAAGTAGCTCACCCAAGACCAAGTACAGAATTAAATGACATTAAAAGAGCGGATATTTTCCCAATTGATGCTCAGGAAGCCAACTCCCAACATTTGAGTCGCTTGGCCAAGATCGCCGGCAGTCGCACGTGCCTTTTTTTGGGGACTCAACGTCACATGCCGCCCGGATCCCGTGCCGATCAAAGCAGCGCTGAGCTTGGCGCTGGCGATGGTCCAGATCCAAATCTCACATAATTAATATGTTCATTGGCTCGGCAAGTACTGAAAGAGCCAAAAGGTTCGCGCGACGCGCATTGTGGAGTCCCAGTCGTGGCAGGGCGCAATTGCCACACAAAAGCGTGCAGGAGCATGCCGTCTTCTGCAAGTGGACAAGTTGGTTTCGGAAGACTGCCAGTATCTAAGCCCCGAACCGTCCACTTCCATGAGTAGCGTCAGACAGAAGGTACTTGCCAGGAAAATCGTTGTATGTGGCCCAAAGGCCGTGACACGATGCCTTTGCTTTGCGCGTCTTTTTCCACGGGCGAGACCATGGCACATTCGCGGGTGCCGTCGCTAAATCCAAGCGTAGGTCGCGGCGGCCACTGTCACGTGGAAGCCGGCCTTCTTGGGGGAAACGGACTGGGAACCCCTGATGGATACATCCCCCGATGAAAGATAGGGCTCGAAGGCTCAGATGGGAAAAAATGGGCATGCCTCTTTGGTTGGCTGAGTTTAAACAAGGAGAAAAAAGGTGCCACTGAGCAACTGGGTGTTTGAGCAAGGGTTCTTTTCTGGAAGACCGCAACAAGTGAATATCTGGGGGATTTATTCATCAGGGGTCAACATGGTTTGTGTGTGTGTGTTCTCGTGTGTGATGCAAGCATGCCTGAGCCGATCTGATAAAACGCACTCTGGGTTGATACGCATTTCATCGCATTTCATGGATCCGCCTCGTTTGGAGATTCAATCTAACCTGGATTTGAAATGGCGGAGATCAAATAAGCACCAGGTCCTTGGTGCTGGCAGGAAACCAACCGTACTTCGCCTGGAGCTCAACAAACATTTTTGGTGGGAACCACCCCATGGGCTTATGGCTGAGACCGCTTCAGTCCGCTCAGTGAGATCTCGACCTGCGACTTGCGGCCCGGAACATCCCAAGGCCAAGAAGGACTACCCGACATGGGTCAATTGAGAGTTCCCTGCGGAAAACTCAGAAGAAAAAAAGCGAGGCCACAACCTTGCCTGGTAAAAAATGCGAGCAACATTGCCCAACACAGGCCTGAGGAACGGGTCCTTTGATCACGTAGCATGGTGACTTGGCCAAAAACGAGGCAATGTTGGCCCGAGACCCCCACACCCCAGGATTGCTAAGCATAGCTTAGGTAAAGGACTCTGTGATTGACCACGGCATATGCTGACCGAACCTCACGCTGCCCTTTGGTTTAAAGTGATTTACAGAACCCTGAAGAGGTCACCGTGCCATGATGCCATTGTCCAACTCCTAACGTGTGGGTCCCTCAATGAGATCCCTCGCGACTGTCCCGCTCGCTTCTCGTCCTACCAAATTGAATACGATGAGCTTCCTTTGGGCATGAAAAGGGTCCGGGATTTGACACCAAGTGCATTCATCTGGAAAATGCACACTCTCCACCCCAGTTCCTTGCTCAGCACGCTGTTTGTGTGTTGGGCATGTCAGGAATCAAAGGGTCCATATTGCTGTCCTTGATCGAATTGCCAAGTTGCTGGGTTCCCTGTATGGATGTGTCTCGAAATTCCTGTCTTTTCGAGGGAAGCTTTGTGGTGGTGGGTTTTAAAGGGACACCAAAAGGACACCCACCAGCTTTGGCTTCCCCATATTGTCCCTTGTGAGGAAAGCCCAAACTCTCGAGAATCATGTCCTGAAGTTCTGTCGTTTCCCACAACGATTTCCCAATACAATCCACCAGGTGGTACCGTTTTTTGTGTCAAACCAAACGGGAAATGCATGGGAGGGAAGTTTTCAATTCACCTGAGACCAGCGCCTGGGTTCCTACCTCGACGTTTTGGACGGGGATTTTGGACATGGGAACAAGCAGTTGGGGGGACTTTGGCTGGCAAAAACCCTGTTTCAACTTTTAGGGCCTAGACAAAGATGCAAGCATGAGCCAACAAGGTTTTAAGCTTGCAAACTCAGTTGCTAAGTCAGACCATCCACGTGCAATAATTACTGAGTTCCCTTAGAGTGAACATTCTAAGGAGCTCTCAAAATTGCCTTCTTTGCTCTTGGGAACCATTAGCAGGTCCCCGGTGGTGTGGGAACGCACCGACACCAAGATCCATTCCGAAAACCCGAGTCAGCCTCACGAAAGCGCGGAGGCTCAGCCCCTCATGGCTGCGTCCGCGCTGCTCCACAATTCCTGCTTGGGCAATCCGACGCAAGACCCTGATCCTTGCAGGAAACCAAACAGGTGCTGCGTAAAAATACATGGCATAGATATCGTTAAACCGAAAGTTGGCCCGACCCGGATCCGCAATCCATCTGGGCTCATGATACTGTTCCTCAAAGGGACCAACCTTGAACAAAAGTTAGACTAACTCAGCATTGAACACATGTGCTGGGAAGACCTCGCCTGAAACTCCCATATCCAACCCACATATGGAACATGTCGATTTCAGCTGGTTGCAAGGGAATACACACTTGGGGTTGGCTTCGTTTCCTAAGAAGTCTGCAAAAGGAAGTTGTCAGGTTGGGTAGCTTGTGTTGTTGAGTCATCCCCAAGGTTGTTCTTGGGTATCTTCTTCTGGGTGTCAAATGGATCTCCCTTTCAGTTTCTATATTCAAGACGAGTTTGAGTGGAGAAAAATGAGGGAGGCTGCCGGAATAAAGGCAAGGAAGAACTGCCACGGCTTCCACATGGGCCCTTCCCGACGCAAGAATCAGCTTTCCCAAGGTTGGTTCGGAGTCGAGGCTTTGAGGCTCCATTTCGTAGCCAGAAGGCTCAAGGGATAGCTAAAATTACGTTTGAGGTCGATTGGCTTCAGACCCTACGGGGAATCCCAGCACCTACAAGAGTGGTCATGGTCGAAAACAAACACATTTCTATATGCTAAAGTTGATAGTATCACAGCTCGCCCCAAGAATGAATTTCCACAACCATGAGAGTGGTGGGTGGTCGAAAGAAAGAAAACATGGCCCGTTTTGTTCGACGCTCGATTTCTGCGCGCTCCTGCACTCCCGATTCCGGGCAAATTGATGATCCCCGCACTTGGCACATCTCCAATCACCTTCCCAGTAATCCTCAGCTGCATACAACCAGATCTGCTTGTCGCATCCTGATTTAAGCAAACCCTCCAAACAAAACGAAACACCAAATAGGGCATTTTTCTTGGTTTCCTTGGCTGTCAGAAGTGATCCCCCGCTAAAAGTGTAACTTTCTAGTAGGATAAATGGAAGCTAACACTAATCCCTAAAAGCCTAAAAGCCTAAAAGCTTACAAGCCTAAGGGATGGCTGGGAAACAAACCACATCCTGTCTGGTCTAAGCTTCCTGCGGCCTGACTGCCAGCCGTGGTCGCCGCCGTGGTGGTTTTTCTTTCCTGCTGTTTTCTCACAAATGGCAATGGGAAACTCGAAAATTGCACCTTTTTTCCCTCGAAATCCCCTTAAACACTGATTCTTGCTCCCAAATTCTGTGCTGAATGTCCTTTTCTATAGGTAGTTTGAGGCTCCAGGTACCCTCAAAATGAGACACCCACTAAAAGAGGGGAGAGTGGAACTCAGACCTGATACGGAAGGGCAGGGCGCCCTCTTGTCGGTTTGAAGGGAAACCCCCGCCGGTTGGGCCTCTCCCTGGCTACCATTCAAACAATGGTTGGCCTAATTAATGTAACGTTCTCTTAATCAGGACCGGTTGAGGTTTAGCGATCTTTGATTCTCTTTGATTCTTTGTTGCAAGTCCCAACCTGCCTGCTGGATAGCATGACCTTGCTGATACAGAGACATCAACGAAGCCATTTGCCGCCTCAGCTCACGCTCGTGGCTGAAGCGCTCGCGGACCCTTTCAATCCCTGACAGCAAGCCAAGCAAGCTCTCAGTTCCTCACTTCCTGAGTGGATTGGCCAAGAGAATCTGAACTTGGTCTTTGCAACTAAAATTGTCTTGCCAAAAAGTATAAAGTCCAGCACCTCTTGTGTGTGTGCGGATTACTCCGGCCCAGGGCATGACCCACAGAACGAACAAAGTGAATGAACTCAGGCAGTGAGGTTCCCCGAAAGGTAGACAAAGGGCCGCGCTTTGGGGTTGACCATTGCGCCAATTGGTTTTAGCGAGTTGGGCTGAGGGCACGGGTTTTTTGGATATGCGTACCCGAACCAAAGGGAACTCAAAGCCCATGAATGGGGATTCCCCCCATAAGACAAAGCCTCTTTTCTGACCAGAAACTAATTCAGAGCCACAGCAAAGAGAGCAGTTGCGACCTAAGAATGACTAAATGTCACGTTTTGTGGGGCCAAGGATCATCCAGAGCTCTGACCTTCCTATGGCTGTGGCGAGGCTCTGAATCAGTTGGAGTGTGTTCACTACCCTTTGGATATCTATTGTAATCCGTGGCATGCGAACAAACAACTTAGCTCTTTGCAGCCTCCCACAATCAACAGAACCAAACAGCTCAACAACATGCCCTGGCGATGGGTCTTGGAAGCCAACTATCCCTTTGAAGCCCCTCCACTTTGGGAGGGTTCCCAACCCTCGGGACTCCAATGAGAAACTCCGAGGACTCCGCTGAACCCAGAAATTCTGGTACGCCGTCTCTGCCGCTGCAGCCTCTGCGATTCGGAGCGCGAGTTGGAACCAAACCCTGGGCTCTCTCTTTCTGAGGGTACCCCTTCTTAAGAGGCAAACCCAACCATTTGGGGGTCCCCCAAAAAAGACACGCATACACCCCTGATCCCCTTTCAAGGGAAAATCAAAAGTATGAGCAGATGGTGTCTTTCACAATCTGGCCCCATAATTCTACCATTGAAGCCGTACGACTATGGCAGAAGGAGCCAAGGGCCTGCTGCTCCGCTTGCTGCTTTTGAGCTTTCTCCTCTGCCTCCTTGTTTTCTCTTTCTTCTTGCTTTGCACCTGAAGTCGCTGCTCCGGCGTGAGGCAGCTTTCAGCCGCCATGCCGGACACATGTCAGCCAAGTCACGGAGCTGAGCGAGGACGGCCCGCTGCTCCGGCGTAAGATCTTCTGCGGGCGGTGCCACAGGCTCCACCGGCGAGGGGGCGGGGCCCGCGGGGCCCGCGGGGCCCGCGGGGCCCGCGAGCGACGCCAGCGACGGCGCCAGCGACGGCGCCGGCCCTGGCCCCAGGACGCCAAGCGACCCGGGGGCGCCAAGTGACGCTCCCGCAGCGCTCGAGGCGCCTGCGCCTTCCGTGGCGCCGTCCGCCTTTGGGCCGCCCTTGCCCAGCGCAGGGTCGAAGAGGCCCGCCACCTGGGCTGACAGCACGAGCGGAATGCACAAGAGGCTAAATCGGACCTCCTTTGGCAGAAGAGATGCAGCCTCACACGGGCTGACTCTCATGTGTGGAATTTGCAACAGACTGGGGCTGGTGCCAAGCTGGCCAAGGATGACTGCACATTGCTTCGCTTGCCTCAGAAATGTGCACAGCACGTGCTTTCAGCGCCAATGGAACTGAAGCCCGCGACTTTCCAGCTCCGGAGAAAGCATCAACGCGGGTGCCGTCGATGCCAAGCCTGGCAGTCGCAGGGACTACAGAAATGCAATGCGACGCGAGCCCTGCCTGGGGCTGAACTCGTCGCTGCCGTCGGCGCCGTGGGCGCCGTCGCCGCCGGAGCCGACAGCACCGGGGCCGCTGGAGGCGCCGGCGCCGGCGTCGGCACCGACGGCAGAGCCGGCAGCGGCGGGAAGCTGGGAGCGCTCAGCGCCAAGGGCGGCGCCGGTGGCCGTGGCGGCAAACTCGCCATCGGCGCACCTGGCTCAGTGCCACTGCGCTTCCTTGCCCACTTTAGGAATCGACTTGACATGGGTTTGGCGGGTTCTCCTCAATACTCATGACTAACCCCTCAAACTGCTGCGATCACCCCTTGCATGTTCAACCAACTCAGTAAGAAGGAAAACTTGGGTAGCTAGGGTCCAATCTTAACCATATTGTGACCTGCTTGCTAAGTTGGTTGAACCAACTGACTGGCGCGCCCCCAGTCCAGTCCTGGTGGGAGCAGGCCCATAGGTGGCCCTGGAGCCAAAGGACTTAAGCCAGGTGCTCCTGGTAGGGCACACGGGCCGGGTGGGGGGGCACTCTGGGTGCGGGTGCCACATGCTTTTTTGTCCGTTTTGGGGATGGGTTTATGGGAAACAACAAGAGGAACCCACATATGCTGGGCCCAACTCCCAGTTGCATCTTGGACTTACCCTCCAACTCTTTGCGCTTGAGAAACCAGTCAGTCTGAAACGTGTCGAAATGTAATCACAGGAATGGCACTCCTGGTGGCAAAGGCGGAGCTGACTTCGTCTTTGCAACACCTAGGCCTCGGCAGTTCAAATGGGAAGGGTGCACGAAGGAGTGCTCCGGAGTGACATCAAAACATAGGGGCTACATGATTTCCCCCATTTTGATCAACTGCTTTAGCGGCAACAAGCTTCCGCAGCCTAATTTGTGGGGTTGGTACTTTTTTGAGGTTTTCAAGCGACAACGAGAGGAGAACCGTTACGCAAGCCATTTTTTTGGGGTCCAACCTTAAACAGGACACGACCAAATGTTGGGTGCCATTTTGGGGTCCACAAAGGTCAGGAAGTGTGTACCTACATGACCCCCAGCCCCGGCTTTGCTTCCGCGCCTGGCGCGGGCGGCGGAATCTTTGCACCGCCCACACTTCCGCTCGGAGCCGGAGGACTTTGGCGCAGCTCCTAAGGCGTCGGGCGTTGGTTCCAAGGCGACGAGCTGTGGATCCGTTTTTTTGTTTTTTAGAAGGTAAGCTAAAAGGAAACCGCTCTTTTGTGGTTGGGGGCCCCCTAAATCAAAGCACATCCGGAACTGGCAGGGGTCAATGAGAAATATACCGTGGTTCTTGAACAATCCGAATTGCAAATCCCGTGATTCTTTCAAGACACATGACCATGCGCTCAATGAAACCAATGTCTACTGAACGGTGTGAACCCCATGTCCGTAGCCCAGCTCGTGTGTGTCTCCCAAAGTGGCGAGTTTCCTTGTGGCTCTGCTCTGTTTTTAGGGACCCAAAGAATGCTGATGTCCTTTTGCTTTCCCTTTAAACCAACACCCCAAAAAAGGAGGGCTCGAACTCAAAGACGAAGCATCCGGGGGCTGTGGAGACGTCTGAGGCCGCAGCCGGGAAGCCGGGGAATGCCGGAGGCATCTCCTGGCCCTGGCGGAACCCCAGCTGTGTTTGCAGTTTTGGCCCGTCCGAACGGCAACTCTAAGACAACCACCTGGAAGAAAGTCCAAAAGCAACTCTTAAGAAAAACACCAAAAAAACCATGGGGAATTAGAAGAAAACAACAGTACCCAAGAAGCGTTCGAAACCTGTAAAACCAGCTTTGACTAGCAAGCTTTCGTCTTCAATGGAAAGATCAACCAAAAGGCACCAGTTGAGTTCCCACGCGGAGAAAGCCCGGTTCCCGCAACTCAGCCGCTGGAAAGGCTGCGCTCAAAGTTTGGAGGCGCCTGGTGGGGACTTATCCTTTTGAAGAGGACTGGTTGCATTGCTTGAAGAGCACTTTCTTCAAGGAACCCTATTTGGGGTTGGAAACCAAGAGGAAACAACACTTTCTGGGGTGTTCCCTCATTTTGAGACAAATCCATGTGTCGCACTTGCTGCTCAAACAGTTTGTTGAGAAGCAAGCAATGTGCAAACGCGAGAAGCAATGGAGCATGCTGACGCTTTGTCAGTGAGGCAGCAAGATTGCGCACAGATACCCTGTTAATAGCATGTCCTTGTTCATATGTGCCGTATTGTGCCGTGGTCAAAACTCCTATGCGGGCAATGGTCATGGTTCCCTCTATGGGAACCTCTATCTAGTTTGGTTGCCTAACTTTGCTGACCGCCAATCCCAAGTAGAGTTTAGGTTCATCCCAACTGTACTTAGTACCGGGAACCGGTCTTTTGATCACGTCAGCTGCGTCGCTGCCTTGCCCGAAGCTGCAACTTCTTCCCCCGGATGAGGCCGGGCCTCAATGCTGGACGTTTGCTAAGATGGATAATGCTTAAACACATGATGTGTTGGTCTCAAAAAAGGGGACCCCGGGAAATGCTCTCTTTCCTTATGGTTTCCCTTTCAAACCAAGCCCAAAAGAGGTACCCACAAAAAAGACAAGCCACCCAAGTCATTCGCCCAAAACTTGGATGCGAGCCACATGCTTGTCCTGTGGTCGGACTCCGTTTAGTAGACCTGTTGTGTCCAGGCCGTTGGAACTTGCTCTTTTCAGCTTCCCTATGTTTGGATTGGTTCGGTGTGGAGACAAGAGCCAGAGGTTCAACACCCAATCCACAAAATTAATCAAAGGTCTGACTTGGGTTTGTGGGTGTCGTCTTTTAGGGGATCCCCAAAATGGTGGTTTTTCGTTTGGCTTCCCTTTGAACCCAACCAAAACACCAAAAAGGAGTATCACCATATGGATCTCGACCCACAACTTGGTTAGGTTTTTCTGGCAGACTTGGGCCTCGGCTCTTCTCCAGTCCGACAACACCGGCTTCCTTGGTGCGCCAAAGCGTTGCCGGGGCCACCAAAAAGGATTCCACCGTCAGGCTCTTGCTTCAGGTCTCAGCCCAATTTACTATATCAGATATAGTAAGCAATGAAAGGCTCTGTGAGATGATGTTTGGGATCATCACAAAAGGAACATAGGGAACCCTGCTGCTTCTCACCTCAATGTTGACTCCTTGATTCTTATCTGATTTCCTAGGTCATTATCACATCTTAGCCAGGCAGCATTGCTTCCAGTGGAACCTCCCTGAATACCTGGGAGTTGCCCCTCCAGCCAGAAAGCACGTCTTTGGAGCCCCTTTTTCACAGTTCCGACCTCGGAGTCTGAGCCCGTCGCTTGGAGTCTCCGGCTTTTCCGTCTTTCCCCTGGCGCGGCAAAGTGGTCGTTACGTTGGGAGTCCCTAAGCTTCACCTCGGCTTGACTTTGGCTCATCGAGAAGAGGCTGCAACCTGGGTCTGTTGCCCGGAAGATACCCAAGCATCTTGGGGGGATGGCTCCATTGTCGCACCATCCCCAATAAACCCTTACGATTAGGGGTGGGGTTCCAACAGACCTCGGTGACAAGCAACTGAGAAGCGCCTTCGATGCCGCAAAGTGCAACAGCTCTCCTGGGGTGCAAAAGGTCAGAGCGATGAGAAGCGTTGCGCTTGGAGGGAAGCAGGGAAACTAGCAAGACGCACACATGGAGTCACCTGTTGCGACAAACCTGAACCATATCTCCAGCCCCAACCAAAGGAAAGGGAACTGCGTCAAAGATGAGCAACAAATCGCCCGGTTAGCTGACTTGCTCGATCCGATCCTCTCTCTCTCGAAGGCTCAAGAATCTGACATGCGCCACGGAATTAAACGAAAAGGCGGGTCGAGGTATGGGACAAGTCGGGCTCTGCTGCGGCCAGCTGGTCTTTGTCCCCCTTGCTGGTTGAACTTGAGTCGAGACTCATCCAAAGTTCATCTAGCGTGCTGGATCAAAGTCCAGAAGACTTCTCAAACAAAACACATATGCCATGCGATTTGTGTGAGGGACAGCGACTTGGAAAAAAACACGTCCCATGGACCAGTCAACCCCGCCGTCCTTCCGCAAGAGCCGTCAGCGCATCATACTCCCGCGGATCCACTGGCTCCTGCAACGCCAGTTCTCCGCGGCGAATCGACCGGAAAAAAAACAACAACACCAAACTGCGCTTCTTGGAGGAATCCGGCCCACCACATGTGGCTGGGAGACTGAGAGTGGAATTGGACTGGGGACTTGGAGACTGGGACGGGTGACTGGAGATCGGACTCGTCTCATTGCGCGGCGCGCCGTCCTTCTCCTTCTCCTGGGCGCGAAGCGCGCCACGTCACTTGAGATCTGGAAAAGACTCTGAGTGGATGGCCCAAAAATCGTGTACAATTGTTTGCCACTCAAATGGTCCTTCTAGAACTCAGGGGAAGCGAGAGTTCCCTAGCACTCGTTTTGAGGGACATTTGCCTAAGTTTCTCGTGGGGGTTGAATGGATCTCACAGCAATATTGGTGGGTTCCATGGTCGCTCACGACAATCTGGAACTTCCGAATAGAACCACCCGTTAAATCCGATGCGCATCCAAATGGCTTGGCCCAAGATAATCAAATAACAAAGCAACTGAGCAATTTGGTCTGATCCTCCAGTGATTTCGTCTGTAGCTCAGGTCTTGGCCAACTACAGCTTGACTTTTTGCCTTTTTATCGACCAACACATATTATTCATAAGGTTGCATCCAGCCGATCAGCGTGGATTTACAACCCTCCAGTTGCGCCACTGGAGAAAATAACCACATGTCCAGTGATTTCCTTTAAAACCAACAGGGAACCACAAGACATTTCAGCGACTGGAAGTAGCCATCAACAGGTCCCCCCCACGCTCTCAGGCCCTGCTCAAGTGCGCCTTCACCTTCTCCTCCGGCGGCTCTGTCGCTTTCGCCGCCGCCTGAAAACGGGAGCGCCAAGCCTTTAAACCCTTTGGTGGACATCATTTACATGGCCATGGGTCAAAAGCCATGGACCCCCAGCGAACACCCCAATCCCCACCAAAAATAGGTTCTAAAATGGGTGGTGCACCTACCCCCAAAAAATGGTGTACCTCCCAATGGTTTCGACCTCAGTTGTTCAGTGACCCTGGAAAAAAAGGGAACCTTATTTTTGGGAAGACCATTTTTAGTGGGGCAGCCACCCAAAACAAAAGGGAAAAAAATGGTGCCACTGAACAACTGAGCACCCTTTGGCGGACATCATTTGCATGAGGGTTGCCAAAAAACAAATGCGCTGAAGGGTGGCACATGTCACTCAGACCCTGGGCAACTTCTGCCGGGCGTATCCCCGAGGTGGGGCCCAGGCTGGCGGCGGATTTGACATCCTCGGCGCCAACAAAAATCCGCGCGGCGCGGAACAACTGGGAGATCGGATTCACTGGAGGTTCTTGGGGCTGAATATCTTTACAGCCCTGAACTACTCTTGCGCGTGAGAACCAGCTGCATCAAGCCACCACTGGGTGGCCGATGAAGAAACGACCTCTCATGTGCTTCGCGGCGCTTGCTTGGTGGGTGCCATGGAATGGCTTCTCGAAGCAACACAAATCCCATACCGGGGATTTCTTCAAGCCTCGTGTCTACCGGGCAGGTAACTCGCAAGTCAGTCGGCTTGGAAAAGGTGTTTTCCGGAATGCACAAAGCATCAGACCCTTTGGCATTCAAAACAAGGGGGGGTAAGCCCCTCTCAACAAACAAAAAACAGGTCCGGGCTCTTTCGGCCTTTCGGCCTTTCGGCCTTTGTGCGGCCGGGCGGCTGAGCTTGGGCTGGGAAGGGCTGCATGCCAGGCGTATGCGGAACCCACGTGGTGTTGAAGGGGTCCACTTGCCGTATCCTCGCGCAAGCGAGGCGGTGGGAAGCCCCTTGGGAGGGGCTAACATGAGGTGAGAAGAAATTTGGTGTCTGTCTTTTCGTGGGACCCCCCAAAATTACATATCAATATCCCTCTTGTTCCCTTTAAACCAACCGGAAAAAGGGTACCCTCGAAGACAGAGACACCCAACTAAGTGTTTGATGCTGCGAAATCCAACCGAATCCAATGCCCAAACTGCTCACTTCTCAGGTTGGAGGCTAGGATGTCGCGGTCAGACCGATACGCGGAGCCGCGGAGCTGTGCCTTTTGAGGGGTGGGAAGCCAACAGGAAACCGCCCATGGGGAGGCTTCCCTCGTGTGTCCTTTCAGGGCACCCTTTCGGGGGTTGGTTCAAAAAGAGCTAAAGGAAACCACTGGTTTTGGGGGTTGGGAAAAAAGGAAGCCACTCATTTTGGGGTTGGTAAACCGAAAAAAATAAAAACAAAAAAAAGGCACCCTTTTCTAGCTTGGTTTAAAAGCAGCCAAAGGAAACCACTGATTTTCGGGTTGCCGGCTACCCGACTTGTCGGACACAAGCGGCCCCGCCGGCTTTTTTCCAGCGGCCCCGCCGCTCCTCCCGAGCAGCATGGCAGTCGGATCGCGAGCACTACCCAAGCCACCACGCATAAGAACCTGACAGCTCATGGAAACCGGACAAAGCGGCTACCTGCTCCAAATACCCACTTAGGGTACATGTTGAAGAAACTTTGAATACCTCCTTGTTTAGTCGGGGTTGACATCATACCCATACCCTTAGGGGATATGTGAAAAGATGCTACAAGAAGTTGCCCAAACACCCAGCCAAAAACCAGGGGTTTTCGCAAACGCACTTCGTGCAGAATCTCGCACTTCTATGAACTCTGACGCCAATCAACGTCACCAGGACCAGGCATGGCACATCGCGGCGCTAACAAGAGTCTTCACAGCGCCCCTTTCATCAACCCACATCTTCCATGGGTTTCTTTTTGGGGGACCGCAAGAATGGCTTCGGTTGGTCTCTGGTGCTTTTTTTCTAAAGCCACAAACAACGGGGAGCAACTCCCACATCCATGTGTTGCATCCCTCGGGAATGAGGCGAGTACGTTGGTCTGTGCTTCTTTGGGTAGCGCCCGCAGTCGGGCCGCGGCATGTGCCTACGAGACTCATCAGGCTCATCAGCACGAGAGGTCCACCCATCCAATCATGGCAGCTGACAAGAGGCTTAAGACTATGTTCGTTCCGGAGAAGCCCCGTCCACTTCCATTGGAAAGAGGGTCAAACATGGCTTGGTGCGCAGGAAGCCTCCCTTAGGACCGTCTTCAAAAGGGTCTGTGCACCCTGCGCCATGTTTCTGTGGCAAAACTCTGATCCCAGCCTGGATCTGTGGATACCTCGGGCGTGCTGCATCCAAGTGTGGCGTCTTAGATTCCCAAAGAGCTCCCTAAATTTCCACCAAAGAAACAACCAGCAACCAAAGAAACAACCAGCAACCAGCAACCACCAACCACCCAACCACAAACCCCCAACGACTAAGCCGGAGAACATCACCAACCAAAGAAAGAGCTTGCTTTGCGATTTGCGCAAAGTCGAGTGTTGTACCGGTCGCAAGGTTTAACCACAGGGTAACCTGCAGTTTTCTGTTTGGTTTTCGAGGGGTTCCTTGGTTACCTACACAGGAGAAATGAAATCAAAGGAAAAGGACTTGCTTCATCAAAAAGAGAAAAACATACAGCTTTTTGCGCAATCCTGGGGCCCCTACTGGTATTTTTGCTTTGTCGGTTCCCTTGGAAAAACCCACTCCTTTTCGTTGGGTACGCACCCCTTGCCACGATGGAGCACCGCTCGGACCGCTCTGGTGGGTCAAGTCCCGAGTCCCGCGCTGCGCGAGGAAGTTCTCCACCTCCGGGTTGGGGGGCTGCTGGTTCTTCGTCTGCTCGAGATGCAACGCCACGGCCTGCGGATGAAGCGCTCCGAATTCGAAGACGTCGACTTCCTTCGACTCCCCGAAAAGTCGCTTTTTGCTTTTTTTTTTGGGTCAGGGCAACCGCTTTTTGAGGGTTTTCCCATGAGAAAAAGGGGCTCTACTGGTTTGAGAAAAATATCACGAAAATCATGAGGTACACGATCCTCACAGAGGAACTGCTTTTGGATGGCTTGAAAGGGAAGCTAACAGGAATGCACCTGGTTGGGCCCCTGAATATCTAATGTCTGGGCCTGTTCCCGGAGCAGACCTTGTGCTCTTGCTGTACCTGTTGGGATTGAGTTTAATGGGTATCCCACAGTGGGTCCCACAGGGCGTCTTCTGTTGAGGGTACCCTTTACACGGGAAACCAAAAGACGCGCCGAAATCGATTTTGTGTTTAATATTATTATTAATATTGTTATTATTATTATTATTATCATTAATATTTTTGGGGGGTCCGATCAAAAAGGGCCACCGCCCACAGCCCCAGTTTGATTCAGGCCATCGCCGGCAGGCAACTGGCGTTGGGGGCCAGGTTTAGGGGCCAGCGCCTGCGCAACCGACTTGTTGTGATTGTACTGCCTGGCGAAGCTCGGGATCGTACAATGCGACTTTTTGTGACGTGGTTGAAAGCCGGAGTGAGCTGGATGGAGCGGGTGAGGCACGCCATGGTTACATGGCTGGGCAACAAGAACGCCTTTCGCTAAGGGAACCCCCCAAAAACTTTTTAGCTTTTGGCAGACAAGCCTCCCACTGGAGGACCCGGAGAACATGGTCGCAGGTGCTCCCAAAAGGTTTTGGGGCCACTCAAACCGAACATAAAAAACAACTGATCAGATCCAGCTCAGGTCCGGGCCTGGCAAGCGCCTGCACTCGTTCCAGATCTTCTGGCATGACCTTGACATCAAAGCCACTTCCACCTCGGGGCACCAACTCATGTGGCTTGAGTACGGGAAGATATTTGGACATATTTGGACACAGGGCTCAACTCCTGATGCTTGTTGGAAAATCTACATGGCCACCAAATTTCCCAAAGCACAAGAATTACATGGGCCCCTTTCCTAAACCAGCCACCAACTTGCGAGTTTACCCGCGAATATGGGACACATTTGGGCTCCGCATCTGTCTTTTGTGGCAGAAAGCCGTTGACTACTTGTTGCGAAAGGTACGGCATAAGTTGTTTGGCAATGGACAACTTGGGGCCAACCTTCAGGTCCGATCTGGGTTCCATGTGCCAGTGTTCAGTGACTGACTCTCCGAAAACGTCCATCCCAACCCATGGGCGCCCTGCCAGATTTCTTCTTTGGGCTCCTCAGGCCAAGTGACACTGCAGCTACTTGCTTTCGACCCTCCCAACTGTTGTTTGGATGAGGGCCGCTGTTGAGAAGTTGGCTTAAAAGGGAAAGCGCCATATTAAAGCCCCTGTTCCATCACACACACACACACACATGGACCCCACCAAAGGTTCCGCTTGCAGGAAAATTGTCGATAACCTGCAACGAAGTACCAAGCCTGTGGGCGTGTCCAAAATGAGGAAATTAGAACCCGCTTTTCCTTGAGAATTGTTGGTGGGTTTTTTCATGAACACTCCCCACTTGAGCAAGAGCCTCCCACCAACTGGAATCCACCATTCCGTCAAAGTGCCATAGTGGGTGGGAGGCTTTTCCACAAGGGAAACAATCTAGGGATGGGGCAGCAGGGATGGGGCAGCAGGGATTGAGGAGAAGAATCGCTTCTTACTCTCCTGCAGATTGACATTTCAGATTCATGTTGAGGATCGACATCTCCTTCCGGGTCCTGGACCCTCTTTTCGGATCCGTGTCAAATTAAATCTTCTGACAGAGAGACGCGTCCCACTTCCATGCTTCTATTTCCCACTAGAATTGGGGTCACTCCTCCGAATTCCATGTTAAAGGCGGGGGTACTGCCACAGCGGAGTTTCTATTGCACCCACTCGAACAATGGGGAGAGCCCCAAACGTGCCTTTCGCGGTGCCCTTCGGTTTCTGCTTCCCGATAAAACTCAGTTTCTCCCTCCAACAAACGGGCCTCCTTTGGCTCCTCACAACGCAAAATGGCAGGCTTGGTGCGTGTCACGTCATGGGCGAAATCGGCCCCTTGATCGCGAAGCCGTTCTTCGGGTCGAGCATGGACCCCCCCGAGTCGCCTGCTCTTCGAGCTGGGACTGCCGCTTCTCCTCCTTCTGGCCCTCTCAGGTTTCCTCCCAGCCGGAAAAACCGGAAAGCGCACGCTTCAGCAGCGTGGCTGCCAGTGGGAGAGAGACGACGCCAAATGCGAAGCACTCCCCCAGTGGGTCTTTTCAACTTCAGGGTTGGGATGTCTCGACCTTCTACCGACCCCACGGGTTCCTTTCTGGGCCGTCGAATCGGCTGAGAACCCCCGCCCGCCGGATCTGGCGTGAGGTGTGCTGGCCTCTTGCCGCGTGAGGGCGATCTTCGTCTCCCCTTGGACCGCGACCGCAACCGCAGGGACGACATGACCTCGGAATTTGCCACGCATCCGAGGGCCAAACGCACGACTCCTTCACGAAATGCGCCTACAAACCAAACACACCACTCAACAGAATACGGAACACACCCATCCCAGGATTGATCGAGTTTAGCCTTCCCTGTTGGGGGGGGGGGTTCACCAAAGCCGGCCATTCCCCTGGTCTGTGCTGGAAAGCGTGGGGAAGTCCCTAAAGGTGCGTTTCTAGGGGTTTTGAAAGTATGCTTGCTAAGCTCGTAGTTGAGCATATACCCCTTGTAGAGGTGTCCAACCTCAACCTCCAAAAACCCGTACAGGGTCTTATGTTGGAGTTGGCACCTTTCTTGTGAGGTTTTAAAGGGAAACCAACCGGAGCACCGAAATCCATTCGGCTGGCCCCATGATTTTCTATATCAAAGTTATCAAAGTCACAACTATGAGTGGTAGGTTGAAGGAAACCCCCACTTTCTGACTTTGATCACCTGCAACCGTTTCTGACTTAAGACAACCCCCTGAAACCGTCAATGACCCCTGGAAGGGTTCTCCCAAAACAGAGGCACACTCGCCCATGCCCAAAAAATATCTCAGCTTGGCGCCCCCTGGGTCGGGCCCGAGGCCCTCTTTGAGCCAAAGCTGAGGGTTTCAACGGAAACGGGCTAGGACTTCAACCTCGTTCATGGCTTGTTGCGGCTTTTCCTTGAGGCAGGTGGATGGACGTCTGACTCGTGTATGTTTGATTTTAAGGGGGCTGTCATGTTGACATCTCGCACATTTTGGACTTCTCCTGGTGCCTTGTCTCTCAGTTTTCCCCCCACCGCCCCCCTTTCATTCGTTAGATCCAAAGAGTGCCAACTTCGAAGGAATGACCAAGTTGAATCTGTCAGAGGAGACCCCGTCTTGGGGCTCCATGTTAATTTGCAGAAAAGCAACGCTCCGTCCTTTTATGCTATCTGCTGCACACGTCGCACCTCGCACTCACATTGAGATCTTGCCGTGCCCATTCTTCTGGTCGCAAGACTCCTGGGTCTGAAACAAAATGAGGTCCCCCCCTAGGCCCTTGGATGCTGTGAAGGGAAAGAAAGCACCACCGAGCCTTACTTTCATCCATGTGTTTTGGGGATTGGATTGGAAAGTCGTGCAGAAAGTATCTGACCGCGCCACATTGGCCACAGTTTGAGCTTCTGGGGCCTTGACCACATACAGACGCCCTCAACCGGCACTGCAGATTCACGAGAAACACCTCCTTTATGTCAATCTGGCAGGGCTTTTTGCCAATCAGCCAAAGGTGGCTCCAAAATAAAATTCCTCTGAGAGGCAAAGAGGCAGAAGTCTGATGGACGCAGCTCTCAACTCCATTTCCAGATCTCATCGTCTCATCTTCGCCACCACTGCCCGCGCCTGTCAAAACTCCAACACCCGGTGCCAGGGTTGGTCCTTTGTTCACCTACCACTTCAGCTACTCGTTCATTCATCTACCCCTTTCTGTTACAGTGTTGTGGGTTTTGTTGAAACTTGTGTTGGATTTACTTGTGTGCTGGCCATTCAGCATGCGCACCGGCTGAACGCTTAAGTCAATACACACTGCATGGGTGACAAACAAAACACCTCTCTTGTCCTTCGCGGCGATTCAAGTCTTGTCTTTGGGGTTGTGGGCGCCTTGGAAAACCTTACGGATGCAACGCAAAGCCCAAGTGCGGGGATCCCAGCCGAGTCTTCGGAAATGTCCCCTGGACCATAGACTGGTGGCTTTGACTGGCGGTCAAGAATCTCAAGGCAAATCGCAGCGGGCACTCGCCGTGCCCTTCCACTTCAAGTTCTGCGGCTCTAGGATTCCAACCAAAGCAATGAAGGTTTATAGAACCATTGCTTACCTAAGAAGCCTCACCTAAATTGGGTCCCTTGGGCCATTCTTTGGCTGGGAGTCGGTTGAACCCTACTTTTTCAAGGGCTCACCCAACAAAAGCCAGAGATTTGTTTGTTTGCCACCTCTTTTAGCATCACTTCAATGCGTGTCCGGTTGAAGCCTATGATCAGTTGTTCAGTGACCCTGGAAAAAAAGGAACCCGTTTTTGGGAAGACCATTTTTTGTGGGGCAGCCACCCAAAACAAAAGGGAAAAAGAATTGGTGCCACTGAACAACTGCGTATGTCTCCAGGGGCCTGGCGCCAAAGCAGCTGCTCCAGCTGCGTGCAGCCAGCGCTGAAGAGCCGAACCGCCTGCGCCAGCAACGCCAGGCCCAGAGTCACCCGCACCGTTTTGGCCAGCGCGGCCTTCAGGGCGAAGCCGTCCAGTGCCTTCGATCGACCCCGCTCAGCGACTTGGAAATGTTAATGTATATATACATTATACATCACTAACATGATATAATTTTAACAAAAACATGGACTTGGCATATGGTTGCTTGGTGGTCGACTTTGGGTTCTTCGATCAAGCGTGGAAACCAACAAGCACATAGAAATGGCGCCCTGTTGGTGGCTGAGTTTGGGCTCCAAGAACCCATACCACGAATCATGCAAGGTTCTTGCCTTGTGGTTCAAAAAAGCACAAGACACGCCAAACGCATTGGTGGATTCACCCACTGTCACCGTTGGGGAAAAGAAATATCATCCGTGTTTTTGTTGAGCCCTCCAGCCAAAAATGGGCATGGGGAGTGTGTATGCCTTTATCCATACCCGTACCTCCATCTTTTGAAATCGAAAACAAAAAACACACCAGTCTTGAGTGTGCCCTTTTTGCTTTTGGTTTCCCTTTCAAAACCAACAAAACAGGGAATCCCCAAAAAGACGCGCCACCCACATGAGCACCAGTTGCCGCTGAGTCACTGGAGGAGTTGCGGTGGGCCTCGGATCTTGCCAAGCTGGCATCTCAGCTGGCTCCGTCTTGGCGTCTGGTACCTTCTGAGGCGGACCTTCCTCAACCGGCGCGGGCTCCTCGAGTTGGGCATTGTTCTCCTCTTCAGGCCTTTAAAGGAGACAAGAGCCACCTGAAACGCTTGAAGTAAGGCTACTCTTTTCCGTGGCTTTGAAGAGAAGCCAAATGGAAACCGATTTGCTCAGAGAAAGTTCCTAAAATCCCAACCTGTCCTCCAGCGCTTGGGCTGAAGACAGCTCTCCACGGATGACCCGGCAGTGCTTCTGAACATCTTCTGGCAGCGTCTCAAAGATGCTATCCTCACTTGCAAAAAGAACATCTTCAGCCGGTGTCCGGATTGATCAACTGGGAACCAACGCAGAAAATGTCTGTCTTTGTCCTAGCCCAAAACCCCAGAGTGCACCAAAACTGTTCCGAGATTTGGCTGGCAACCAAGCCAGGTCGAGTTTCAGGTTGGCCAAACCCACGGGCGCACCACAGCTTGCCGAGCTTCAGGAAACCATAACATGATCAGCCAAAGAGCATGTGAGACAAATGAGCACAGGTGATCTTTGGGCAAAAACATAGATGGGTTTTTTGGTAAATGGGTCGTAAAATCAATCCAAACCAGTGGACCCCATCATATTTCCAACCAACCCTGTGCTTCCAGTTGCCGCTGCAAACTAGGTGACCAGGGATCCTTAGCTCTATGTGTTACATGATGGCTTTCGCCTGGCTACCTGCTATGGTGGGAACTGGAAGCACCGGGCAAACCCTAAGAAGGACGTTTCTGCGAAGGCTCCGGCAAGCACCGGCGCGGCTCTTGGATGCAGCACCGATCCCATTGGCAGGCGTCGCATGGAGCCGACACGCTGAAGGAGTGCGGCTGCGCGATGAAGCTGGCGTAGTCCAAGGAAACGAGCTCCAAGCATGGCAGGAACCGAGTCCTTATCAAAAATGAAAACCTGCCTGAGGGGAGTAGTCCTTATCAAAAATCGGGACCCTGAGGGGAATGAGCTTCTAATGGGGACACCGAGGGGAATGAGCTTCTGCTCTTGTTTGGTTGCTCAGCAATGACCTGCCTGAGGTGACCTGCCGCTTCTGCTCGTGTTTGGTTCAGCAACAAGGATTTCAACACATGTTGGTTCCACCAAAAAGAACAAGACTTAAAGCGATTGCTGACAAATTGTTTGCATGAAATGAGAAGGTTGACCGTTGTTCGAAGGGTATCCTCCCCATGGGATCCTCACCGGTGAAATGGTTTTCTGAGAAGAAGGATGGGCCAAATTCACTAAACATGGGCCAATAACTGGACCCTAACCTTGGAGCTTTCCTCAACACGGCACCCCAAATAGGTTGTTTTGGTTGGCTGGTAAGCAAGACCACACCAAACAAACCAAGAAAAGACCCAAACGCAAAAAGAAACTATTGCGAGCGTGAGTGTCTCTTGGGTGAGATTCGCCGCCTCCCCGCACCACAGTCGGAGATCCCGAATGATGGCGGCGCCTTTCGGCAGCGGGGATAGAGTTGACTGCCACAGCTCTTGCGGCTCCTCCTCGGCAGCATTTTCTGGTACTCCCCACAGAACGAGCCCGTTCTTGTGAGATTGGGTACCTGATAAGAGGCTTATAACAGGGGTTACCTGCTGGGGGGTACCCAGCAGGTTGAAAAGGCCAAGCTTTACAAGATCCAATCACTGAAGCAACCTCCATTTGTTTGGTTCCCTCCCCGTTTTTGCCATATCCTTGTTTGGCGGGCCGATGTTGGTTCCATGCCTCCAAGAGAAAACCTACACTTTGAGGGGGCCATACATTCTTGCCAATCCTTTCGGGAAGAAAGGTGTGGACCTGGATGATACAACCAGAGCAAACAGGAATCGCCATCTATGTTCTACCACAGCTAAAAAAAAGACCCCTTGGCACAATGCAGTCCAAAACTGTCGCAAAAAAGGGTGCCTAGCGTAGTGTCAGACAAACCCATTTCAAAATCCTGTTGACACAACAACCGCCTCCAATTCACCCGTTCTTTCTGACAAGGCAACAAACAAGCAACTAAAATCCATCCCTTCTGTCCAAATGAGGGATGTCATTCAGAAGCGAGCCAATGAAACATGACACCAACACGGCTCTGCCTAAGAGAGCTCATTCACCAGCTAAGTACTCAATTCAAGCAGGGTACCTGGGCCCGCAAACTAGCCATACACGAACTTATGAGCAACTTACAAATTTAACAGGTAGTTTAGCGGCCGGGTACCCTTCAATCACGGGCAAACTGACGCCAGCCAACGAGCATCAAACCAACATATTGGGTTCCAGGAAGCTTTTCCAAATTGAACCTTCAGTTCAATTCCAAAAAAGGAATACCCCCCCCAAACAAAAGAAAAGAGAAGCAACACACTTCTTGGCCATTTTTCGGTGGGTAAATGGATTGCCCCCTCCCCCAACCCCAAAAAACAGCGACCTCTCCTTGAGCCTGGGTGGCAGATCTGCCCGGCACACCGCTCTTCGCTTCGGCGCCACCCGCAACGGCGCGAAGTTGGGCTCCAGCCCCTCACCCGTCGACCAAAATCAACGTGTGGCGTTGGGCTTTCAGGAAGAGGACACGGAAAGGCTCTCGGTGGGTCGACATTTTCGAGGTTCCCGCCGTTTTTGCTGATAAAAGACAAACTCGACATGGACACTTGAAACGGGTGCGTCCGATCCGGCAAAACAGCATGTGCTTTGTTGGGGTCCATGGAAATCTGTAGGGGAGGACCTACTATAATCACCGAGAATCTCAGTTGCCAGACTCGGAGAAAGGGTAACATTTTGGGGCCACTTACCATAGACCAACAAGGGGAAACTGAAAGGTCATCAACAGGTCGGCTTTGGGCAAGTGAGGAATAGTAACAGGACAAGAAGCGAGAGAGTCGCCACCACGTAAGGGAAGCCAAATGATAATCATGTTAGGCTTCCATGAGGGTAGCCTGTCCACCTGTTGCATTTGTTCTGCCAACAAAAAAAAACGGGTTGCCAAACATCCCGGCCCTTTGTTTGGGAATATCTGGGTGTGCATCAGAACGCGGATCCCAAATGGTAGCTATCCTGTTGAGTTCCCCCTAAACCAACCCTGAAAAGAAACATGAAGAAACACAAGATTGGGCAACCTCAAAGGATCTAAAATAAGTTCGTTGGTTCACTCTTGGACAAGTTGGGTTCCCCACAACCCCCGACCCCTCTTTGGGATTCCAAAGGGAACACCAAACAATCCCACTCCCAGATCAGTTCTTGAGTGGTTTGGCTCTCTGTTTGGATTGAAAAGGTCCAACACTCAAATCCCCAAATTATTGAATTGGTTTCCAACGTTGGTTTAACAAAATTTCCAAAATAACATCGCAATTGGTTCGGGCTGGTAAGGTCGCCCACACCCAACCCCCCAGTGGATTTTCATGGAATGGGAAACAACACTCCGTTTAGGGTAGTCGATTCAGGGAAAACGTTTGACAGAAAAGTCTTAGCAACCATCTCCAGGGTCTTCTCCAGGAGATTAACCAACAAAACAAACCAAGGGGTTTGGGCGCTATATTCCTGGAGAGTTTGCCTGGAGATAGTTTCTCAGAAAAATTGGAAAAACCAAAAAGGTAGTCTAGTAAGGTGGGAAAGCAAGCCACTCATCTGGTCTTGCAACACAGCGCCTGCAGTGTGAAGGCCACTGCCACTTTGGGCGCACCCTCCGGGTCCCGGAAGACCGTGGGCAGCTGGGATAGCGGCATGCACCGCAGCTCCTGAAATACAACTCGAAGAACACATTACCATAAAAGAAAAAGACACACCAAGTTGTCAACTAGTCGTGTCTTGTCATCATAATGTGTTCTTCCGAAGTGAGTGCTGGTTATCCTTTAGTAAGGAAGCCTATTTTGGAGCTCTGAGTAGGGTCGAAGATGGCATTGCCCTCTGTGGTTCGAGGGAAAACCAAAGCGAGGGATCCCCTATTTATTCAGTAACACAACAAGCAGGCTACATGGGTCCAGGCGATTTTGATTACATCGCTACACACCTCCGTTTGGTTACATGACAATAAAAACAAAGCCATTGAGGTTTCAATGAAGCCAAGCAAACCTTTGTTCCCACCTCTGCACCTCAACCTTGAAGCTAGGCGTCAAGACGTTGACCCAGTTTCATGAACACAAAAACGGCTTCCCCTTGAACAAAACTTGTCCAAAGAAAAGTTCTCCCTTTCCCCCGGCACAAACCACAAACTCAGGAAAGGCACCAGATCCTGGCACCGGACCCTCTGGGCCCAGGGCGGCTCAACCCAACTCGGCTGTCCAAACTGCGAGTCTAACTCTTGGGTTCAACGGAAGCCACCTCTTTTTCCAACCAAAACCAACCAAAACTCTAAGGAGCTGCATGGCTGGGCACCAAGTCAACCCAAAAAATGTTTTTCATTCTTGGCCCCTCTGGCTACTCCGAGCCCCCGCCTGGCACTTTGCGCCGGGCCGGGCCGCCTCAACGCGCGCGGCGCAGAAGGCGAAGTCCGGGGCCAGGCGCTGCAGCAGCGCCAGGACCGGGGACTGCCTGCAGCGGGATCTAAGTAGATACCTGTTGGGCTTTTTGGCGCTTGGGGGTCCCTTAAATGCCTGTGTTTTTGTGGTTTGTTTCTTTTTTGCGTTTTTCGAGGTACCTCAGATACATACTAAGAAAATAATGGGTACACAAAATTGCTGAGGTTGGCAGGAACAAGCAACCCGTCCTATTGAGATCAGAGGGTGAAACAACCTCCAAACGTGGTCTGAATCCCAACAAAGGGACACCCTGACAAGGGGACACCCCCGAATCAATCAAGCAGGGGTTCTACTTAGATCTGGGGTCCTGTCGGGCTGTGCGAGAAAAGAATCGAGGGAAGCGGCTCTTTGCCTGCTGATTCCCCAGTTAGAGCCCTCACTTCCTGAGAATGGCCAAGTCCAAACTTCTTTTTTGCCGCTCAAATGGCCCAAACCCGCAAAGTGATTCCCCAGTCAGTCAGGGCCCCTGTCTTTCAGATGTTCCAAGCACTGGAGGGGGCTCCAGCGTGCTTTTCGACCAAACTAAACTTCGATTCCCTGACCAGCCAGGGGAACAAATGCAAACCTTCTTTGAATTTGAAGGGGAGAAGCCACCACAAGCGCTCACACACTCTGATAGACAAGTTGCACAAAGTTGCTCCGAAATCCCAGTCCAATGCTGACCGACCCAACAAAGAGCAAACACAACACACCTCGAATAAAGAAGAGAACAACTAGCACCAAGAACAAATATGCAAAAAAAAAGAAAGACAGGAACGGACACTGGATCCCAACTCATTCGATCCCAGTTGCAGCAACTGCCACGGGAAGTGCGACCTCCCCGTGGCATCCTCCGCGTTCGGCTCGCCCTCGCCTTCCAGGGTCGCCTGCGCTTGGTTTCGCTGGAGGTGAGTCGAAAATCAAGACCCAAAATCCGTCACACTCAAAACCTGGCAATAAAATGCTTGACCCGGAACCATGTAAAGAAGGAGAAAGGCGACACCCAGTTGTGGCTGGGACTAGCCCGCTCCAACCTTCATCTACCTGTGTGGCTCCGAGCCTTGTAGATCTTAAAATGAATTACTGGTGGTCAATTTGACCCACCCCATAGTGACATTGTCGAACTCGATGTCCGATTTTCAATAAGGGACCCCCCTTCAAAAGGTAATCGTCAGGACGCCTCAAATGCAACTTAAGCCCCCCGTTTGCTTAAGTCGCCTGGACAACAACATAAAAAAAAAAAAAAAAAAAAAAAACATTCCCAAGAGTGGCAGATTGCTTTTAAAACCAAGAGAAGCAAGATATTCAGCATATTCTCGAGAAAGCCTCGCAAGTCTGCAGAACTTCAGCCGACTCTTCGCCCAAAGCGTCGAGGGCGATGCAAAACCTCAGCCCAGTGGCCATGGGAACAAACCGATCGACACCCATTTTTTTGCAAATGGTTGACTGTCAAAGGAAACGTTTCTCCGAAAAGTACAAAACAGAGAGAGGGTTCGGGGTTCCTTTGAAACATCATCCAAAGAAAACAACTCCCCCTTGTGGTTGGCCCCAAAGCAAAAAACAATGCGGGAAAAGGAGCCCCTGCTGCTGGAAGATGGCGTAGGCCTTCTCTACCCAGTCTTCCGCTCCCACCGTCACCGAGTATTCGGACACCTCCAAGGGTGGCGGACCCGTTGGAACCGCTACAACCCCAACCCAGCGCTTTTTTTTGGGGGGGATTGTCGGTTCATGGAGTGATCAGTGACATTGCTCAAGCGTAGACGAATGGCACGGATCTGGCTTGGAAACTCACACGAAGCATTGCGGCCTCCAGACTAGAGGCATGGCACTCGGAAGCCATGCCACTGGCCCGGAGCCCAAAGTCTGCGGATGGAGTCGACTGGTCCCGTTTTGGGTCTCACTTCCTTTTGCCATGTTGGGGGCTTAAAGGGAAACCACTTTCGAATGGTTGGGGGGTTACGAGATATTGCCACATACGCGAATCTTGAAATGTGTCTCATAGTTCTGGAAAGATGTCCCCGTACTCAGTCTGTGTCGCGATTCCAGGAATCAGGCCTAAACTCGATCCCAACAAGGTATTTGATCAGTTTTTCGGGATGGAGGAGACACCCGCAAAACAGTGGGACCCTCCAAGCAGGTGGCTTCCTTTTGGTTCCCTTGAAAACAACCCCAAAACGTTGCCCTCAAACAAGATGAATTCGCGGGAAAGACTCGAGGTCATCCGTACACAACACCTAAAGCAGCTAAAGCAGCGGAACCCTCTGATTGGAAGTCGCACTGGCCTTCAACCCCAGAAAGGCAGCGCCGAAGAGCCGCTCGAATTCATTTGGACCACTTTTCGCATCTTTCCGGAGCCAGGCATTTCTGCACGAAAGCAACTAAGCCCTCAGGCAAAGCGGGTTGCAAAGTCCGATGGCGAACAATGGGGTACCTGGGTACGGCTGGAACCCTTGGGCATACCTTTCCAAAGCTGCTCACTGGGATTGTGGTGAAACCTGTGCGGTGTGAAAGGGCATAAGCTGGTCCACGGTTTCATGGGCGGTTTCCCTCAGTTCTCTCAACCCACAACGGGTTGCAAGAAGGCCTTGAGGGACACACTCAAGCTTCTGTCTTCAGTCCATATACGCCCTTTCACAGCTGAGCAGAGACGAACTCACCGCCATACTCTTTGAAGGGATCTTCCACTCTCAAGTCCTGGCCACAGCCACTCGATACCTTTCGGTTTATGCGCCAAAGGCTCCGAAACCATTACAGCGATGGGGCTCCTGACAGGCTACGGAATCCCATGACCCGTTAACTTCTCCAGAAAGGCCGCCCTTCAGAAATGGCAGTCTTAGTTGTCTGTCTATTTTAAGGGGGTCCGACAACTTGGTGGGCGTTCCTCTTAGGACTCCCTGAACACCGCAACAAAGGGGTACCATCAAAAAAGGCGAGGCACTCATATTCTGCAGGCTTGGAAGCATCAAGAAGTCCCTCGCCTGTTTGATAAAACTGAGGCGCCAGCACTCACAGGGTTCCAACTCACTTTGTTTGGGGGGGATCCGCTAGGCGTGTCTTTTTTAAGATACAATGGCAAGGGCTTTCCTTTTGGTTTCCCTTTCAAAGCCCACCCAAGGGTGTCCCTTTTAGTTGCCCTATTGGTTTCCCTTTCCAAAAGGGTAGCCAAAAAAAAGACGTAGCCCAACAAATATGGGGCCCAGGAACTTTTTGGCACTCTCAGCACCGCCTTGAAGGCCTTGGAGCAGGCTGCATGCCTGTCGAGCGATCCCCCGCGCAGCCGGCGCTCAACCGAGTTTGAGGCCATCGACCAACGAACGAATGTGAAGCAGGGCGCGCGCTTGGTGGCAACCATGCAGTCGTAGAAAACTCATGTAAGATGCCTTCCATCAACAGTGTGCACCCTCGAAAGCTGAGCATGGTAAAGGCACATCCACATGTCAGAAGGTGTTGCTTGGAACAAGACTATACCACCACATCGGTACAGTTGGTTTCCCTCAAGGGCCCAGGATCAAGTTTGAACATTTTTGTGTACGAAGCTTGCTTGGGGACTAAGGGATCATTTGAATGGGGATTTCTGCGACCGCCCACCCTGTTTCAGCATTCCAACCATGAACATAGCCATGTTGCCCAATCCCGTCACTCACACTTCCGATCGCGTGCATTGGCGCAACTCAAACAGTCTTAACCCAAAAAATATGAAAATGGTTATGGGTCAAAATCCAAATCGTACCCCCAGTGAACATCCCAATCCCCACTAAAATAGGTTCTTTTTCTGGGTGGTGAATTCACCTACCAACCAAAATGGGATCCCAAAACGGCTTTGACGACCACCGCCAAAGGTCCCCCCCGCCTCAACCAGAAGTTGGCGCACTGGACATGCCAATGCCCACCTCGCCATGGCGCTGAAGCCTCACGGACAGTCACCCGGAAGAACCAAGCCGCAGAACAACAAATCTGGCGGTCAACACCTGAAGCGAACCAGGGTTTTCTACAGTTCACCGGGGTTCCCCATAGTTCCACTTAGTTCTCAGGGGTTAGTTCCTGGGGTTCTATAGGTTCTCTGGGTTCCTTATAGTTTCACTTGGGTTATCTAGGCATGGGTCAAAATTAAACCACCAGTGAACACCAGGTGTTCGTTGTTTCCACTTACCCGGGTGCCATTTTGGGTACCTATGTTTGACCCACAGCCATCCGGGGTTCCCTATAGTTTCACTTTGTACATTGTCTCTCAGGCACAGGCCGCGCCAGGGTCATGTCCTTCGACCTCTGCCTGATGCGTGCTATAGGGGGCATGATCTTTCCACACCTCAACACATGTCTTTTTGAGGATACTCTACAGGGAAATCAAAGGCAACACAAACACAGTTTGGGCTTTGGGGAGTCCCCCTATGCTTAACCCCCAAACCACTATCTAGGATGGAAGCCCTTTGACATGGCAACATGAAACAACCCTCTGCACCAATGTTGTACTTTTGAAGGTTCAACACCTTCTTTTAATGGCAACATGAAACTGCACAGGTTCCCGGGATCCAATTAATCCAGTGGCCACAAGGATGTTTACCTCTAGATGTTCTTCGAGTTGGGGCATCTGCCGTGGTGTCCTTCCGTGTGAGCAAACCGCGTTGTTTTTGGCCGCCCCACCAAAAGAACCGTCAACTAGGGCCCCTCCACTTGGTGGTGTGGATTGGTGATTTGGAGGGTCGGGGCTGGTTTTCATTCATCCTCGACGAGAGCCGGGGCTTCAAGTCCAAATTCAACGCACCAATTCAAAGCGCCGACCACGGTTATCCTGAGGTGGCTGTGGGTCAAAAATAGGTATATACCGAAAATGGAACCCTGGTAAATGGAAACTTGGACTACAACCTGCGGGCCCCTCTTGGTGACTTTTTTTGACCCACACCCAGGTGTGTTCCCCCCAGCTAAGACAGTGCCGGCCTCCATTCCCAGCGGCACTGCTGGTAGCAGGCAGAGTCTGGCAGGGGAGTGACCGAGTACCCTGGAGGTCTCAATGCGGTTTGGTTTGGTGAGGGGATGGTTTCCTGTTCACCCTCCGGCAAAGCCAGGGGTTCAAACCATCAATCTAAACCACCAACTTGGAGTTACCTGACCTTAAGCCTTTGTCTTGCAAACACACACACACAGAACGATTCCTTGATGTTCATCTGGGCCGGATCAGTCAAAGGCATCTGCCTTTTCCAGGGCCCTGGAAGATCAAGAGCATTTCGGAGCGAGTGGGACAGAATGGCGCCAATGTGTGGTCACGGCGCAAACTTTGAGGGTAGGACCGGCAGGCTTGATCCCATTGCCCAGTGACCCTGGAGGAAAAGGAATTTGAACTCTGTAGACAATTTTGGAACAAACAAAAAGTCTGGGACTAAAGTAAACCAGCATGTGGGCGATTGAGGCGGCCGACGTAAGAAATATACGGTCGAGAAAAAGAAACCATCCACTGTGTGCGTGATTGCAAAACTCACTTCGCACCAGATAGGTCATACATCAACCAGCATAATCGCGATTCATCCATCCCCGATCGGCGTGGATTTTGTATCCACAGCGGGTCCTGGGTATCTTTAACTTGGCTCAGGTCCCCTGCACGAAAGGGATGGCTGGGAACCAGCAAGCCAGGGATAAGGCCAAGGTCCGAAGCAGGGTGATCATTTTGGCAAGCCCTCAGAACCCATTTCGATGCGATCGACTCTCCTGCAGAGCGGCGCAGTTCGATGCTCCGGCTTCGCACCGGCCTGAGTTCGAGGGAATCGCATCCGGCGATTTGTCGCGCGAGGTCGGGTTTTGGCCCACGAATTCTCGGGGCTCCATGGACAGAAAGTTCCCACAGGCTTTGGGTCTATAGAGGGCATGTTGAGCTCCCCAAATCTATCTGGACCCGGGCCTGAAACCAAGAAATCAGCAGCGCACCCGAAGGACAACATCATAGGGCTTGATTTCCCCTTCTTGTTCAACCATCGTTCTTTCCAAACAGCCCTTCGCTCCGGGGCTTTGTCGGTAAGATGGTTGCAAGTAACCCCGTGCCTTTCACCAAATGGTCGTTTCGGGACGGCTTACTGGGAAACCAAAAGGACACTGCCCAACCGGTTCAGGCGTCCCTTACTTTGAGCAACACCCATATCACGGTGGACAAATCCCCATGTAAATGATGTCCACGAGGGAAACCAATTAAACATCACACCCACATAGGTGCTTCTCAAAATAGTGGCCCCAAAAAAATGTAAGATTCAGTTTTGGTGTCCCTTGAAGCACCAAGGGTTGGGCTTCACCAGTCGCTTTGCCCATTGGATTGGCTACAGGGTTCGACACCCATTTTGAGAACTTACAGTACGCTTCGCCCTAGTCGTCCCATTTACCCAGAAACGAGGGGTTCAGATCCCAATCCAAACCACAGTCCAAACCACCTTTTTCAGGATTGCCTTGTTCTTGGCAAACGCAAAGCAAGTGTTGTTTTCGTTTTCGTGGGATGGCACCAACCAGAAATCCGAGTGGGGGTCACTCGATATAGCCAGACTCCGCTTTCGTGCCTGGCCTCAAAGCAGCTGCCTTCCTGCCAGGCCTCCAACTTCAGTCGCATACCTAGGGCGAGTTTCACATCTCCGGCCGTTTTTGGGTTGGAACAAAAACCACAGGGGAAAGGGAGACAGGTTGTGTTGAGGCTGGCCGCCCTGATTTGGGGTGTTGTGAAGAGACATGTGGAAACTGACACACTAAGTTTGGGGGGGGCTACACTACTGTGCGGACATCCCACCTTGCACGTGGGCCTCATGAAACAAACAAAAACAATGAGGGGCTCTCATTTTTGAGTATAATCTGGAGAAAGGACCCGACTGTGTTTTTGGCTGGCCCGGATCCTCGC